GATAATTTTCTAGAAAACTGTCATTCCTCCAAAATGTGAGGTTTTTTTTGTTTGTTTGTTTGTTTTAAAGATTTGTTTATTTGAAAGGCAGAGTTATGGAGAGGAAAGAGGAGACAGGAGGAGAGACGGAGCTAGAGACATCTCCCATCTGCTGATGCACTGCCTAAATGAGCGCAGTAGCCAAGCTGTGCCAGGCTGAGGCCAGCAGCCCAGAACTCCATCCAGGACTCCCATATGTGTAGCAGGGCCCCAGCACTTGGGCCGTCTGCTGCTGCTCTCCCCGACACATTAGCAGGGAGCTGGATTGCAGGTGGAGCAACTGGGGTTGAACTTGTGCCCACATGGGATGCCAGCATCGCAGGCAGCAGCTTAACTACCTGCACCACGACACTGGCCCTGCAGTGTGTGTTTCTGTCACCACTGTTGAGGGCCAGAAGTCTCGGGTAGATACTTGGCACAGCAGTTAGAATGCCACTTGGAATGCCCACACCACGTATCACTCTTCTAGGCTTCTGATCCAGCTTCCTGCTAATGTTCACCCTAAGAGAGCAGGGTCAGACATTTGGATCCCTGTCATCCATGTGGGAGACCTATGTTGAGTCTCTGGCTCCTGGCTCTGACTTGGTTTGGCTCTGCCTGTTGTAGGTGTTTGGGGAATTACACACTGGGTAGAAGATGCCCCTCTGTCCATTTCCTTTTCCATCCTCCCTGCTTTCCCCCTGCTTGTTCTGCCTGCCTTCCAATAAAATGAAGATATTTTCAAAAGACCAGTTGGCTGCAGATTCATAGACTTGTTTCTTATGTCTGCCTGATTTCTTTGTTCTGTGCGTGCACTTTTTTTTTTTACGATAATGCCATGCTATATATTTTTACAATTTTTATTGGAAAGTGAGATATATGGAGGAAAGACAGACAGGCCTGCTTTCCCAGGCCACAAGCAGGGAGCTGAATGGGAAGTGAGGCCAATGGGATTAGAATTGGCACCCTTATGGGGTCCCAGTGTGTGCAAGGCGAGGACTTTTAGCCACTAGACTACTGTCCCAGGACAATGCCATACTATTTTAAATTCTAGGCTTGGAGTATATTCTACAGCCTTGTTCTTTTTGCTCAAGCTTGCTCTGGCTAGGTGGGGTCATCTGTGCTTTTGTGCAGTGTTTTGACAATATTTAATTTGGCGTTCTGTGACATGTCATGGATTCTGTTTCCCATGGGGGTTACATGGACTCTAGATCATTACGGATAATGTGGACATTTGATGATATTGGTTCTTCCAGTCCGTAGACTTGAGATGTCTTCAGTTTTTCAGGGTCCTCTTCGATATCTTGTGTCAGCATTTTATAGTTGTAAGTACAGAGATCTTTCGGCTCTTTGACTAAACATTTCCGGGTATTTTGTTTAATTTTGTTAATTTTGGGGGGTTCATTTTGTAGCTATTGAAAATGGCTTTATTTGAAAGTCAAGACTTACTAAGAGAGGGAGCAAAGGGGATGTTTGATCTTGGTGCACCCCTCGGATGGCTGCAACAGTGCTGTGCCAGGCCCAAGCCGGGAGCTTCCTCCAGCTGTCCTACCTGGGTGGCATCACGCCAAACTCAGGAGCCGTCCTCCACTGCTTTGGAGTTGGTTCAGGAATGGAGCCAGGGGGCCTTGTACCGCCACCCAAACAGGTAGCAGCTTTACTAGCTATGCCACAATGCCGTTCTCAGCATGGGATATCTGATTCATCCTTGCATTCTCATTCGGAAAGAGTCTTTAATGATAGAGTATCCTCTAAGAGGCACGTATTTGGGTCTTGAATTCTTTTTTAGGCATCCTATGCTTTTCATTGGAGAATAATCCATTCTCATGCAACATGGTTTTGGAAGCTAGGGCCTTACTACCTGTGTTTTGATGCTTGTTTAATTTTGGCTTTTCGCACTGAAGTTTTCCTGTGTGGTTACATTTTCTGTAGTGTGGTTGCTTTCTTAATTTTCTGCTTTTGGTAAGGCTCTACACTTGTTACAGTTACTATGAGACTTACAGAAGTGTCAGCTGCATTGAAATGATAGCAGCTTAACATTACCTATAAAGGTGGGAAAAGGTGCAAAGAGACAAAACGGCACTAAGCCCCCATAGCTGCACTCCGTTCCTCCCTGCGCTTTGAAGTTCTAATGATGCAACTTGCACGTTTCCACACTGCCTGTCTCGGCATATTACTCTAGTTATGTTTCATTCTTTACGCTCCTTCCTAAAGATCTGAATGCTATGTGGACATGCCTTGTCTGCATACTGAAGGAGAGCATGTAGAATCGACCTGCACGGCTCCTCTATCCGCACGTTTCCTCTTTCTGATGTTTTCTTCTTACGGGTGGTCATCTCCTGGTTTGCAGATTCCCTGCAGCATCTCTGTAACTTGATGTTCTCCCAGCTGCTGTTTCTCTGAGAATGCCTCTCTCCTTCAGCTCTACAGGACAGTTTGGCCGGGTATGGCATGATCGGTGGGCAGGATTTGTCTTTATTCAGGAAGGGGAAGGCTTCCCCCTCCTAACTTGTAAGGTTTCTTGCAACTTTGAGACTCTTGACATCGGAGAGCGCTTGGAGGAAAGGACTGGGCTGAGTTGTATTTGGTGACTTCTGACTTGTTGTGTTTGGATAGTTGAGGTTTTCTTCAGGTTTGGGGAATTTTCTGTCTGTCCCCTTTTTGAATTTGCTTTCGAGCCCTTTGAGCTGCCCAAGTCCCTCTGAGTGCCGTTAGTCCTTCTGGAATCCACCTGAGCTGTTCTGCTTCCCCTGGTTAGGTTTCTTCCTTTCCTCCGACTGTGTGTGTGAGCCCAGGGGTTCGTTCTTCCGTTGCCTCACTTCTGCTGTTGGTCTGTTCTAATGTGGTGTTAGCTTTTTTTTTTTTTTTTTTTAAAGATTTTAACTGCAAAGTCAGATGTATAGAGAGGAGGAAAGCAGAAAAAAAAGGTCTTTCGTCTGCTGGTTCACTCCCCAAGTAGCCGCAATGACTGGAGTTGAGCTGAGCTGAGCTGGTCTGAAGCCAGGAACCTGGAACTTCTTACGGGTTTCCCACGCAGGTGCAGGGTCCCACGACTTGAGGTTGTCCTCTACTGCTTTCCCAGGCCAGAAGCAGGGAGCTGGAATGGAAGTGGAGCAGCCAGGATATGAATCAGCACCCATGCATGGCTACTGCTCGGGGGCCCAGATTTAGCTTTGCATGGAGTATGTTTCAGCTTCAGATGTTGCATAATCTCCTAAAGTCCCTTTCGCATGTGTTCCCTGGGTAGTACTCCCACGCACAGCTTCAGCCTAATCCCATCTAGGGAGCTGTGTGTGCATGTGCACGAGTGTGTGTCTATAGAAAGATAAATACATTTTTGAAAAGATATTTATCCTTTGTCTTTAAATTTTTTTTTAATTTGAAAGGCCAATTTTTAAAAAGATATTTGTGATGAATCCAGACTTGTTCCAGGTGTTCAGAGGATGACTTCATTTTTTTTTTTTTTTAAGATTTATCTTTATTAGATATACAGAGAGGAGGAGAGACAGAGAGGAAGATCTGTCCACTGATTCACTCCCCAAGTGGCTGCAGCAGTTGGAGCTGAGCCAATCTGGAGCCAGGAGCTTCTTATGAGTCTCCCACATGGGTGTAGGGTTCCAAGGCTTTGGGCTATTCTTGACTGCTTTCCCAGGCCACAGGCAGGGAGCTGGATGGGAAGTAGGACTGCCGGGATTAGAACTGGTGCCCATATGGGATCCCACAATGTTCAAGGCGAGGACTTTAGCTGCTAGGCAGCTGTGCTGGGCCCTGAAAGGCTGGATTTTTGCAGAAAAGAGAGACAGAAATGCCTTCCATCTGTTGGTTTGCTCCCCAAATAGCTGCAATGGCCAGAGCTGATCCGATCCAAACCCAAAGGCTTCCTCCCAGCTTCTCATGGCTTCAATGGCCCAAGGCCCTGGGCAATCCTCTGCTGCTTTGCCAGGTTATAAGCAAGGGGCTAAATCAGAAGTGGAATAGCCAGGACATGAACTAACACCCTTATGGGATGCTGAAATTGCAGACAGAAAATTAGTGTGCTGTGCCACTGTGCTAGTCCCTATCCTTTTAATATTTGCCATAAAAAGGTTTTGACAGACTGATGGACTTATGACTGCTTATGAAGGATATACTATTGTAATAATATGGGGAAAATCAGTGGGGGGATGGGAATTAACATGGGGTAGGGAAATCCCAGACCCTGTGGAATTGTACCATAAAGTGCAAGAAAAAAAAAAAAAGCTTACTGAACAGTTTTGAGAGTTCTGAGGGGTTTGGCATAGTGGCATAGTGTGTTAAGATGCTCTCTGCTGTGCTGATATTCCAAATGGATGTTGGTTTAAGCCTTCCCTACTCCACTTCCCATATAAATGGGAATGTTAAATGCCTGGGAAAAGCAACAGGAGATGAGCGAGCCACTTGGGCTCCTGCATCCTTGTAGGAGTTATGGATAGTTTTAGGCTCTTGGCTTTGGCCTGGCCCAACTAATGCCACTGAGGTTACTTGGGTAATGGACAGGTGGCTGGAAAAGCTCGCTCTCTCTGTCTCTCTCTCTCTGTTTCTCTCTCTCTCTCCCTCCCTCCCCCTCTCTCTCTCTCCTTCTGTCTTTGTATCTCTCCAATTCTCTCCATGACTCTACACTTCAAATAAAACAAATCTTTTATAAACATCGGAATCTATGTTCAATTACATGTCCATCAGCTTTTTGAAGATAAGCTCTTTTGCAAAAACAAGACCAGCCTAGATCTTAAATGAAACATTAAGGCCAACTTTCCATTTCTCTGAATGGTTAAGGTTGGAAACTAGTTGGTTGGTTAAGAATCTGTTGACCGAGCTGCGTTCGGCTTATATCAAGTGACTCTTTAAAAAGTCATCGAGAGCTTTTGTCTAAACCAGGCATACCATGGTGGGAATTTCTCCATCCGAGAACTGGAATGTGAGCCTTTGAGCTTTGCACTGAAGATTCGCCCGTTGTCCTCCCCTAGTGGAAGCACTACATTCAGTGCGATGGCAGTCCTGACCCTTCAGTATCCCAGGAACTCAACACCTTCATCAGCTTGTGGAAAGAGGAGACCAACGAGAACTTCGAGCAAGTGATCGAGAAGAGCAAACTAGTACTGAGTGTAAGTACTCAGGCGTGACCTGTGTGTAAATGCTGCGACGCGCCTGGTATTGACTGTAAAATGAAAGAGTGTACATATGTTAGCTGTCAGTTAATAGCCTCACTGCTTTGGATCCATGGCTATGGAGGTCATTGGTAATATTAATCTATTTGTTTAGCTTCAGAAGTACTTTTATATAACTTTTTGAAAATCCCTTAGGTACTGTCAGCACATCCAGTGTCTAATTCAGGTGAACTGCATCTGCTTTGTGAATTTAAATGAGTTAGTGGTGGGAGGAATGGATTATTTTTCCCCTCAACTGGAATTATCCACTACTCAGTAATTCAGTACCCATGATGTGTAATGTCTACAAGGTGCTAAGTAGCTGATCTGTTAGGCTGTGGGGGGTGCCAAGGTAAAGAAGTCCCAAGTTGGATGAGCTAACCTCGTCAGCTTGCGTTTTTCAGTGCAATCCTGGGCAGTGGTGAAGGCGGCAGCTGGGATGCTCACGTGTGACTCTGGAATGTCCAGCTCTCTCCTGGCTCTGCTCCCATTCGAGCTCCCTGCTGCTGCTCAGCCTGGAGGCAGCAGGTAGCAGCTCCCTGCACACACCTGGCAGACTTGGAGTGTAGCCTGGCCCAGCCTCAAGTATGGTGTGGTGGCACTGGGGAGTGAACCATAGGGCAGTGTGTGTATTCTCTCTCCATTTTTAAAAATAAGCAACCTTTTTTTTTTAAAGAGCATAATTTTTAATGATTTTCAAATCTATTGCCCAGTTCACAAAAAGGTAAGATAAAATCCTAGGACTATAAAATAGTCTACGAACTGAGAAAGTCAAAAAGCTATTGGCTTCACAAAGATTCAGCTAACCCTAATGTTTTAGCATTTTTAAAAATATGTATATATATTTTTTAATTTCCAAGAGTTAGAGCATAAGGACAGAAAAATCTTCCATCTGCTGGCTCATACTGGCTGCAAAAGCTGGGACTGGATCAAGGCAAAGTCAGGTCTCTCACATGTGTGCAAGGATCCAAGCGCTTGGGTCATCTAAGCACATTAGCCTGGAGCTAGACTAGAAGTGGAACAACTGAGACTCAAATCAATACCCAAGTGGGAAGCCAGTGTTGCAGGCAGTGGATTACCGCACTTGCCACAACACTGGCCATGTCCTCATTCGTTTAAAGGAACACAGCAGAGGTCAACATGGTGGCATAGCAAGTGAAGCCACCACCTGCAAGGCTAGCATCCCATAACGGTGCCAGTTTGTGTCCTGGCAACTCCAGATCCCGCTGCCTGCTAGTGGCAGCAGAAGATGGCCGACGCGCTTAGGTCGACGCTACCCATGTGGGAGACCTGAAAGAAGCTCCTGGCTCCTGGCACTGGCCTGGCCCAGCCCCCGCTGCTGTGGTCATTTTGAATGTGAACTAGAGGATGAAACACCCCCTTGTCAAACCCTGCTTTTCAAATAGATCTTAACAAAACAAAATGCTAACACTACACAAAGGACCATGAGGTGGTAAGCTGAACCAGTATGGCTGTGACACTCAAAGATTATCTGTCCTATCTCCCTATAACAGGGAAAAATTCACTTGTGCAGAAGGGGTCTTCCCCAGCCACAAATCAAAACCAAAGTAAAATGACCAACCAATGAAACAAACCAAAAAGCCATTGTTTGGGGCATATTTTCCTGCACCCCAGCATTGCCAAGAACCTCTCACAGCTGGAGCCATTGAGCTGCCCAAGGCAGTGTTCTGCCTGCTGGCCATCCCAGTTCAGGAACCTGCTGCTCAGCAGGGGGAAGTAGTGCTGAAGTTGACATAGTGTTCAACGGGAGATACACAAAGACACTACAATGAGGAATATGAACTCAATAGCAATTAATGGATAAATTCAGAGAAATTCAGGTGTGAGAAAGTTTTTAAAATGAAATTGAAGGCCCAGCGCAGTAGCTTAGTGGCTAAAGTCCTCACCTTGCACACGCCAGGATCCCATATGGGCAGCAGTTCTAATCAGCCCAGCTTCCCATCCAGCTCCCTGCTTGTGGCCTGGGAGAGCAACAGAGCATGGCCCAAAACCTTGGGACCCTGCACCCATGTGGGAGACCTGGAAGAGACTCCTGGCTTCGGATTAGTTCAGCTCTGGCCATTGCAACCACTTGGGGAGTGAATCATTGCATTGAAGATCTCTTCTTCTCTCCTCTCTTCAGCTGACTTTCCCAAACATTTTTTTACTGGCCCACAGTGAGTACTAGCAAGGGAGAGCTCCGTCTCAGGTTAAAAGGCAGCTTGCTGGCAGGTGCCCTTATGGAAGTACTTGTATAAGATGAGGAGGAATCTTTGGGTCAGGTGTCACTTCTGATATGCTGCTCAGACAAAAAGTACCTCTGTGTGAGCATTGGCCAGCAACTCTTTCAATCCCAGATTGATCTCCCCACCTGCTACTGAACATTGTGAATAAAAGAAATGGTATAAAAGTATTTTTTCAAAAATGTATTTATTTTTTATTGGAAAGGCATATTTACAGAGAGAAGGAAAACCAGAAAGAAAAATCTTCCATTTACTGGCTGTTTCATTCCCCGAGTGACCACAATGGCTGGAGCTGAGCTGATCCAAAACCAGGAGCCAGGAGCTTCTTCCAGGTTTCCCACTTGCATACAGGGTCCCCAGGCTTTGGGCCCTGCTCGATTGCTTCTTCCGTCACTGCTTTCCCAGGGCACAAGTGGGGAGCTGGATGGGAAGTGGAGCCACTGGGACACAAACCGGTGCCCATGTGGGATCCTGGCTCCTGGAGAGGATTAACCAATTGAGCCATCACATTGGCCCTTAAAAGTATCTTGTGCAATGTCTCAATTTTGTCTGTAAAAACTTCCTCATGCCTGAATTTCTCTGAATATGCAAACAATACTCAGAATATTTGGGTATATTGGATTTTTATCACTAGAGAATAGCAGGTAGTCATGCCTAAAAACTCAGTTTTACGTTTTTCTACGGTTGCCAGGAGTGACTTTGTTTTGATTCTGGCAACTGACACCACTGATGGGACAGACTTTTGTTAAAAAAAAAAAAAGTGAAATATGGAATACTACACAGTAGGGAAAAATAGCAAAAGAAACAGTAAAACCCCCAAGAAAGTCATCAGAGCCATAAGAAACCAAAGCAGAAAGATATGATCCCATACCGAATCCTAATTTCAAACCTTTCCGTTTCATTTAACAAAGTAGCCGTTAATCTTGCCGAGTTCTCATAGCAACTCTAAGTTGACACTGTTAATGTCGGCTTATAAGTGAGGAAGCTGTGGCCCAGGGATATTGGTTAACTTTGCCACGCTCACATGATCGGTGAGAGACAGGTAGGGTTTAAGAGTAGTGTTCTCGTGTTAGTTCATGTGACATCTGCTGCTCTATTGCCTCTCTTAGTGGACAGTTTCCTGTGTGTTATCTAGAATTTGAGTGCTCACAATTAAATTCCTGCACTTGCTCTCTGTTCCCTAAGGATGTGATGCCTCACATTCCTTATTTATGTAATAGACAAGATCGTATCAGGTAATGAGTTGTGACACAGACACCAACTTGCTAACAAACGCTGTATTGTACATAGTTAGGAATATTTATGTGGGGGGTTTTGGAGGAATTTTTTTTTTTCTGTGCTCTTAAGATACAAAATCAATGCAGGACAAGGTTGTTTTCTTAAATATAAAATGTTAATTCAGAAATGATAGACTAGGTCCTCTTTTTACTTTTTCTGGTTTTGGTTGACTTTAAGGTCAGCATTCTTTTCTTTTACAGTTAATTGAGAAGTTGAAGTTGATTTTATCGGAGACTCCCCTGTACGAGTTGGAGGAGAAAAGTGTGAAGCAGTACCAGGGGTCCATTCTGCAGCTGCAGGAACTCCTGCAGCTCAAGTTCAACGTGGCCACGGAAATACTGCTCCGCGTGAGTGAGGCTTTGCCCGTGTTATTAACTGTTAAGATTGACTTTATCCATGTAATAATCCAGTAATAATAATATTGGAAAAGCTAGAATTTAAGGAATGTATGTATATATTTATCCAGAGCTAACAACTTTGTGTTTTTTTTTTTTCCCCCAATATAAAACATTATGTACTAATACATGCCAAGGTCATTTTTGAAACAAAGTTATAAAGTCTATATAATCACTCTGGACAAATCCAGTGTCACAAGATTGAAATTACTAGCTTTTCCCTCCAACGTTCTGTTTTGAAAAACTGTATTGAGATGTGAGGTTAAAAGATTACTACTGAGAATACTCATAATAATTCAATCTAGATTTTACAGTCCTTAGCTTTGAGGCAATAGAGCTGATCTACAAAAATCAGTTCATTGTTTTATCTACGTTTTTTTCCTTGTATCATTGAAAGTGATCCATCTGAAATACCTCAGTTGTAATGTTCAGATACCAAGAAGTATAAAATCAAAATTATATATAATAACTAGTTCTATAGTTTCTTCTAATATCTAGCCTGCACTCACATTTTTTCCTAACTTCCTGTGAATATCTTTAATAGTTCAGATATATTTAAGTTGATCTTATTTTGAAACTGATCTGCATTCATAGATGGCTTTTGGATGTTTTTGGATGTTTCTCGTGGCCCAGAGCACGCTGTATTGTGTAGCCTTGGAATATGTTCTAAATGGGGCTGGCATTGTGGCACGGTCCGTGACACTGGCTACAGAATGGTGCCAGTTTCAGCCCTGACTGTTCCCTTTCTTAACCCACTACCTGCTAACGCACCCGAGAAAGCAGTGGGACAAAGTTCAAACCCCTGGGTCCTTGCTGCCCGTGGGCAAGTCCTGAGTGAAAGTCCACTCCTGGCGTGGCCTGGTCCAGCCTTTGAGGCCATTTGGGAAGCACGCCAGTGGATAGAGGATCTCTCTCTGTCTACTTCTCTAACTCAACTTTTCAAAGAGATAGATAAAAATCTTTAAACAAGAGAGATGTTCTAGTTATAAAAGTACTGCAAAGTAGGCTTCACCCACGTTATTAGTGTATGAAAGCTTTGTAGTTACTTAGTATACGTTGTAGGACGAACAAAACAAGGAGCCTTATTAAGATTTTAATTTTAAGAGACAAAACTATAAAAGTCTTTAAAAATACTGCGATGTTAAATTTGAAATGCAAAGATCCGTAGGAATCGGATTTCTGTTTATTCCATAAAGAGGAACAAGGACTAATGGGAGTAAATGGCCAATTCCAGATCAGAGGCCAGAAAAGTGAGAGCTGAGGCCGGATCATGGTCTGGGCTGGAAATGAAGGGATTGCACAGAGACTAATAGGGTCACGTCAGAGGGATGGACACTAGCTTTATGAGGTCACACTAGCAAATCTGGATTAATTTGAGTACATTAAAGAACAGTGACTCTCAGTCCTAACGCAGTGAATAGGGAGTTCTCATCTATCACAAAGGAAGGGAAAAGGTGGATTGCAGGGACACCAATCTGCAGAGGAATGTCAGCTAATAAACTATCAGGAGATTGATTTATTTTTACATGGAGTACAGGTTTTACAGAGAAAGACAGCTAGGTCTTCCATGTGCTGGGTCACTCCCCAAATGACTGCGGTCACTAGAGCTGAGCTGAGCTGAAGCTGAGAGCCAGCGGCTGCGTGCTGATTTCCCTTGTGGGCACAAGGACCCAAGACCTTGGGCCATTCTCTGCTGCCTTTCCAGGCCATAAGCAGAGAACTGGATCAGAAGTGGAGCAGATGGGTCATGAACTGACACCCATGCGCAAGGCTGGCACCAGCAGTTGGAGGATTAGCTCACAATACCACCATGCCAGCCCCAAGATTACCATTTTTTTTTCACTCTGTATTGCAATCATTGCTTCACATCAGAAGGCTTAGTGATTACCTAAATGACAAGGTGGGAAGTTGAGGAGCACATCATCAATACGGTGTCAGAGTGTTCATCCTCAGATTACTAATTGCTTGGGGAAAAGGTACTTGGCAGTGAGATCATATAGTGGTCAGACACCTTCACCAGGTGATGACAGTGAGGTGACACGAGCGCCCTGATGACGGATGAAACCCAGTCTGTGCTGCCTTCCTACTTGAAAGGGGCCGGTACGAATCTGAGTAAGCTCGTGGATCTTCCCAGAAGGAAAAGTGAAGAATCTAGAGGAGCAGCTGAAACAAAACCAGGAAGAAACAACTGCATCCATGACTCTCCTGGACACCTCAGAGTTAATAGCAATCACCAGGGTCCCATGTGGGCGCCGGTTGTGTCCTAGGTGCTCCACTTCCCATCTAGCTTCTGGCGTGGGAAAGCAGTAAAGGATGGCCCAAACCTTGGGACCCTTCACTCGTGTGGGAGACCCGCAGGAGGCTCTTGGCTTCAGATCGGCTCAGCCCCGGCCATTGCAGCCACTTGGGGAGTGGACCAGCAGATGGGAAATCTGTCTCTCTGTAAATCTGACTTTCCAATAAAAACAAATAGGTTCTGGGCCCAGTGCAGTGGCGCAGTGGTTAAAGTCCTCGCCTTGCACGCCCCGGGATCCCATATGGGCGCCGGTTCTAATCCCAGCAGCCCCGCTTCCCATCCAGCTCCCTGCCTGTGGCCTGGGAAAGCAGTCAAGGACGGCCCAAGGTTTTGGGACCCTGCCCCCTCATGGGAGACCCGGAAGAGGCTCCTGGCTTCGGATCGGCATAGCATCGACCGTTGCGCTCACTTGGGGAGTGAATCATCGGACGGAAGATCTTCCTCTCTGTCTCTCCTCTCTGTATGTCCGCCTTTCCAATAAAAATAAAAAATATTAAAAAAAACCAAATAGGTTCTATGTTCATGTTCACGTGTTGAAACAGTAAATCAACCACATAACTTGGCTGAATCCTGTGGACTGCCTGTTTTGCTTCCTGAACTTGTTGTATTCAGAGATAGGCTAAGTTTTACAGTATGGACACATTTTATTTTAATAAGATGCAGTGGAGAGACATGAAAAGTCATGATTCTGATGTGAAGATTAAAGAAGATGTAATAATAATATAAAGGAAGGTAGGAACAGCTTTAATCCTTAGACATTTTTAGAGGAAATAGTCCAGGGCCCAGTGCGGTAGCCTAGCAGCTAAAGTCCTTGTTTTGCTCACGCAGGGATCCCATTAAGGGTACTGGTTCTAATGCTGGCGGCCCCACTTCTTACCCAGCTCCCTGCCTGTGGCCTGGGAAAGCAGTCAAGTATAGTCCAAAGCTTTGGGACCCTGCACAGAAATGGGAAACCCAGAGGAGGCTTCTGGCTCCTGGCTTCAGATTGTCTTAGCTTTTGCCATTGTGGCCAATTGGGGAGTGAATCATTGGATGGAAGATCTTTCTCTCTCTCTCTCTTCTTCTCTCTGTGTATCTCACATTCCAATTAAAAGAATAAGTCTTAAAAAGAAAAAGATGAAACGGTACAAATCTCTATGCTTTGGAGAGCTAAATTCTTGGCTATTATGGTTGACCCTCTTAAACCCAAGTTTTCCTTTAAGGTGATCCTTGGAAGGAATACAACTTGTAATTCAGTAACTTCTCTCAAGTGTATAATGTATCAAGCTCCTGGCCTTCCAACTGTTCTCTCCCTCTTATTTTTTCTAACAGAATGCTAGCACTTTAGCAGATCTGGACAGTGGAAACATGGAGAGGATCATCCGCGGTGAAAACATCACGCTGTACATATGGGCAAACCTCAAGAAGAACCCAAGGTACCACCTGGGGACGGTTTCCTGTAGACAGACGTTCGCATCACGCGTTTCCAGGCAGGTGCCTGTTGCTTGGCAGCGTGGTGTTCTTGGGAAACCCAGGTTAGGGAGTCAGCTGGTCAGGGCTCGAATGGCTTATCATTGACTGACTTCAGGTCGGTCACGTAGTGGGTTCTTAAAAAAAATTTTTTTAGAGTCATTTATGTTGATTGGAAAGACAAATCAGATTTATTAGAGGAGAGAAAGAAAGATCTTCCATTCGCTGGTTCACGCCCCAAATGGCCACAATGGCTGGGGCTGAGCTAATCCGAAGCTAGGAGCCAGGAGCTGCTTCCGGGTCTCCCATGTGGGTGCAGGCTCCCAAGGCTTTGGGCCATTGGCTACTACACTTTTTCAGACCACAGGCAGGGAGCTGGAAGGGAAGTGGAGCACCTGGAACCTGAACCGTGGCGAAGACGAAGATTTAGCCATTGCATCAGGCCAGGGTCACTCAGCCTTCACAAGCTTCAGTATATCATTACAAGAATGACGACAATGTTACTTAATGCAGTGTGATCGAGGATTGAACATTAATACATGCGAAAGTCCTGGTGTGGTGGCTAGTACAAAGATAAGGCTTAATACAGAGTCTCCCCAGTGTCTTAATTTAACCCCTATTCCTGTCACAGTGAGAGGAGAAATGGTAGGTGCTTTCCACACTGCAATCTGGAACAACATCTAATATATGTATATATAAAATACATATATGGGTGGGTATAGATACATATATATGTATGCAGACTTTACAATACACTAAAAGTAACTGGTTTTTCATATTCGTTATATTTGAGATGTTTAAGTGACCATCTCCCAATCATTTTCAAGAAAATATTTCTGGAAGGAATGATAGTGACAAATGATAAAATCATAGTCTTTCAATTGCTGTTTGACCTTAGACAACTCAAAGGAGCTGAGCCAGAGTGTCAGTGAGTTTGGGGAAATAAAAAGAACTTTAGATTGTGATCCTATCTCTGAAAAGACTAGTTAAATGATGTTGAAAAATATTTGGACTCTATTGTCTATTTAGAAAAAAAAAGGAACACATTCTTTTCCCATTTTCTGTCTACCAAAATAATATTCTGGGTTACACCTAACTTTAGACAACAGGTGAACCTGCTGTGCTGTAATATGTACAGAAAGGGCAATGAATTTGTGTAGTTTTAAGGTAAGACAAGTGAAGTTTGTACTTATACCCCAGTACAAGAAGAGGCCTGGGTGGTGCTGCATACCTGTTAAGCAACTGTGGAGGCAGGGCAGGGTCGGTTGCATTCTGGCCATGGTGGTGGTGGGGGTCAGGTGGTGGTGGTGGTAGTGGTGGTGGTGGTGGGGGTCAGGTGGTGGTGCTGGTAGTGGTGGTGGGGGTCAGGTGGTGGTCAGTTGGTGGTGGTGGTGGTGGTCAGGTGGTGGTGGTGGTGCAAGTTTTAAGGATGATGACTTGGAGAGCTTGACTTGGTAGAGATTGTAGAACTTGGGGTGGGAGTGTTCACTGCCTGAGGCCTTGAGGCTGATCTGGGGTGGAGAGTTCTTGGGAGCCGACAGCATATCAGTCAGTGGCTTCTAGGTTTTAAGGAGGTAGAAAGGCTTTTGAGCATCAGCCAGTTGCATCTGATCACACAGCTGGAAGGGGGAGGCATGTCTGGACCTCACCCGGGATTCCTCTTGGAGGGAATTAAAGCTCAGGGGTTGGAGAAGGCTGCTGAGGGCGTGTGCAGAGGGAGGAGAGAAGAGGACCTTGGGGCAGGGTGCTGAGTAAAAGCGGTGTTTACGGGATGGGGAGGAAGAGACCCCACAGAGGAACTGCTGGAAACGGAAGAGAGAGCAGAGTTATCCATCTCAAGGGCAAGAGAACTCAGGACGGACAGGGTGCAAAACTGGAGCAGAATCCAGGTGGGACAAATCCCGCTCTAGGGAGAACTTAGATCCAGAGGTTCCCAGGGTCTCATCCCTTGCGTTAAAATTATTACTCACCCAACAGGTACAGAACTGTCAGATTCTCTGAAACCAAGGTTGGTTTTGAAATTCCAAGGATATTGGCAGCAAGTGGCATTGCTCTGCGCCTCCTCCACACGCACTATGATCACGTGACTCCACTGCGTCCGCTGCCCACGCCACCTGCAGCCGGAGACGGTGACCAAGAACCCAACGCCGCGCCTGCGGCTGAGCCTGTCAGAGAGGAACTGAAGAATGTGGAAGAAAGCAGCAGCCAAGAGGACCAACAAGAGGCTAAAGAGCCGGAAAGTGAAAGTAATTTAGTTAACGAAGAAGAAATAAGAGTTGAGGAACAAGGAGAACCCGTTCCTGAAGTGCACGTGGTAGGATGCATTTAAATGTATATTTATGTCACAGTATTGTAAGATTTGCTTGATGCAGGCTCAGTATTCCTGAATTACTAAAAGTCACCTGAAAGCCACTTTCTTGCTAGTGCCTGATATATATATTATATTATGTATTATAATATATAGAATGTATATAATATTGTATGTTATGTATATATTCTTTTCCTTAAAGGCAGAAAGAGGGAGACAAAGAGCTTCCCAAATGCCCCCGAGAGCTAGGACTGTACGAGGCTGAAGCCACAAGCTGGGAACTTGGTCCAGGTCCCCCAGGCAGGCAGCAGGGTTGTTAGGGATGGAGCCATCCTTTGGTGCACGCTGTGTCCACCCCAGGGTATGTTATGAGGAAGCTGAAACTGGAGAGAGCTGGGACTCGAACCCAGGTGTTCTGGTGCAGGATGCAGGCACCCAGGGCAGGATCCCAACCCCTGGGCCGAACGCCCACCTCGTCTGAATGCTCAGTGAATGTCACTTTTTATGGCTGAGCCAATTGTTCTGGCATCCCAAAACCCGTGACAGATAACAATCACTTTATATTAGGTGCTTTTGCTGAAAAATCTCGGAAGCCATTTGATTTTTGTGTATTGCCCACTCAAGGCAACTATGTGGAAACTGACAGTAGATTTGTCTGTCTCAGACCGAAGGTCCAACTTACATCCAAGTGTCGGTTCTGAAGAAAGAATTTTAAATTTTCTTAAAATATTGCACTCCTTTCTGAAAACTTGACATCGTTTGATAGAACGCGTTTGAGCAATTAAATAATCTCACACGTTTAATTGGTTTATTCTTTATCCATTGCCATAATTTTCAAGGTAATTAGTATGTTAGAAATATCCCCTTGAGGATTTAATGCTTTCTCAGAATTCAGTAGCTTATTTGTTCAGCTGCAAACTTTTAGGAGGGACCAGACATTTAAGGTTTCCTCAGAATTGTCTAACACGTGAAATTCAGTGTGTTCAGACACAGCAAAGGACTAAGAATTAAAAGTACAAATTTGAGGTTAAAACAGTAATTATTAAATACCAATTCTAAGAACATACATGACCAAAGATTTCCGTTTTGAATATCCTTGCAGTAACACACTGTGTAGTCCTGATGGCACGTGGGGCTAAGTACCAGGAGTAGTGGTCCGTCTTTTTCTCCTTGTTGGAACCCTGTCTGGTTTTGGTATGGGATCACTCTAGTTGGGTAGGACAGGTGTGGAAGTCTTCTTTTTGATTTTTGTGGAATACTTGAGTGTTAGTTCTTCCATAAAAGCCTCTTCGGATTCAGCAGCAAGGCTGTCTGGCTCTGGTCATTTCCTCATCGGAAATTTTATTTTTGGCAGGTTCTCAATGGGTTGGCAAATAGTTGTTCCTAATGATTCTTTATATTTCTGCAATGTTAGTTGTAATCTATTTTTTTTTTTGATCTCTGAATTTGAATCTTATTTTCTCAGTGTAGTGGAAGGTTAAATTATCTTTGAAAAAGACCAAATACTCACTTGGGTTTTTTTGTTGTTGTTGTTTTTGTAGTGTACTTCTGTTCTGGTTTTTATTTCTTTACTAACTTTGGGCTTGATTTGTTGTTTTTCTTTTTTTTTTCTTCTTTGAGACCGTCACTAGGTTTGCTCACTGGATACTTCTGTGCAGGCAGTCATTGGTATAAACTTCCTTCTCAGCACTGCTTTTGCTGTAGCCCCTGAGATTTTACGTGTTTGTTACTAGTCCCAAACATTTTTTTAAGTTTCCCTTTTGATTTCTTCAAATGCCCCAGGATTCATTCAGAGTCAGGTTTAGTCACCGCGGATTTATATAATTTTTAGTTCCTTTGTTGGTGACTTCTAGCCAGAAATGAGACATGCTTTTCAATTTCAGGCTCTGTGGGGGCTTGTTCTCTGGCTTGGTACGCCACCTGCCTGGGCAGTGTTTGCTGTTGGATGCTCACAGTGTGTATGCCACTGCTGTCCGGGGGTTTGTTCTGTCAATATTCCCAGTCTGCTGTAGTTGAACTTTGGCACTTCACTAAATTAGGATCTTAGAGAGCTTTGTGTATTCATTGGAGAAGCAGGTAGCTGGAGAGGGGCTGGTATTGGCACCCATTGGCACATGTACACTGGTGCTGCCACAGCTGGGACCCGGCTAGACTGTGGCCTGGTGCCAGGATGGCAGTCCGTGTCGCTCACTGGGCTGGCGGGACCCATCCACAAGCACCTTCCCTTCAGATTGGCATGTTTATTAATACTACTGTATTTTCTCGACTTTTAATAATAATAATAATAATAATAATAATAATAATAATGATTTTGCGTGGAAATTGCCTAACTTAATATGTGAGACAATCACAATAACAAGTATTTAAAAATTAAATATCTTGCATTAGACATTGATACAGTTCTTTTTCACACAAGTCTATTAAGACCATGGCCAGTAGAGGGCTCTTTAATACCACATATTAGTTCATTTAAGCCTGTATCATTAATAATATAGATTGAATGTCTTCCCAATGACTATATCATGCAAAACGTTTTGGGAAAGCTAGTTTTAAGTCGAGTGCACTTTTGAAAAATCGTTTTTCATAAGAGTAAAAATCTTCTATAATATGTGTTTCTGAAATGACTTTCAGAAATATGCTCATGTTTTAAGGGGACATGGGTCTTTCAATTGAAAAGAAATAGTTTGGCCAAGAGAGAGAGAAATGGGTCCTCTATAGTTCAAGCATTGGTTTGCTCCCTGAATACTTGGGACAGTCAGGAGCCCACAGCTGGGAGCAGGGAACTGGGAAGGGATTTCCCACACGGCCCCCACGAACCCAGCTGCGGGAGCCTTAGCCTGCTGCACTTGAGGCACTGCATTAGCAGGAGCTGCATGGAGCAGCGGAGAGCAAAACCCAGGCACACGTTTGGATCCACGCAATGACAGATGATGTTCGGGGACTGATGAAATCCAAAACATAAAACACAAACCAAGGTGAACATCTTGACATGCTACTTGTGCAGTAAAATTTGAGCTATCTTTGACATAGAGGCACTTAAGAAGGAAAAAACAATTTCCTCTGGTGAAGAGGGGGAGGCATGGTCACAGGAGAGAGCGCTGGGATGTGGGTGCTTGCTGGTGTCGCTCTGGCCACTTGAAAACTGGAGCTATGCGGTCGTGCAAGACCTCCCAACAGCGCAGCTCCTTCCAATGCACCGGCCTTACCCAGCCTCCGCGCGCTCTTATTTCCTTCCTCGGCAGATATGTACAGATGCTGTCGCTGTGTGATAGGGCCGTGCCGGTCCTCAGGCTGTAGGGGTGTAGGGGTGCAGGGACGAGTAAGGTTCTTGTTGTCCTGTTTTGAATACAAGTCAGGAGAAACATCAGTAAACCAAAAAAAAAAAAAAAAAAAAAAGCAAAAACAGAAGCCACTTAAAATAAATGCCATGCATAGAGTTAAACAATTAAACTGATAGCTTTTTTTTTTTTTTTAAAGATTTATTACTATTAGAAAGGAGTTACAGAGAGACAGGAGAAAAAAGATCTTTTGTGTGCTGGGTCACTCCCCAGTTGGCCACCATGGCTGGAACTTGAGCCAGTCTGCAGCCAGGAGCTTCTTCCAGGTCTCCCATACAGGTCAGGTACAGGGTCTCAAGGACTTGAGCCATCCTCCACTGCTTTCCCAGGTCATAAGCAGGGAGCTGGATGGGAAGCAGAGCAGCCAAACTGGTGTCCATATGTGATGCTGGCACCACAGGCAGAGGCTTAGCTGGCTGTGCCATAAAGATAGCATCTGCTGATAACTTTTGATTAAGCAGTCAGGTTGAGCTTGCCTGACGAGATATTATTTAAGCTTGGACCCAGATGACAAGAAGGAATCAGGTGTATAATGATTAAGGTAAAAAACAGTCTTTAGGAATGCTGACAGCGACGGTGGTGAGACAGAAATGATGTCAGGCAGAAAGCCAGGGGACTGAGGTTTACCGGAGAGGAGAGCGGTCTGATGGAGTGGGAGATGGCAGAAGCCAGGGCTTGTCAGGGCCAGGCGAGAGCTTTGGCTGCTAAGGGAAGTACAGGTGGCAGCGGAGAGTGGCATGGTGTGATGCTGGCTCCTGGGAGAGGACAGGTGGCGAGGCATCGCAGTTGAAGGCGCAGTATCTACTTACCTAACTCTCAGGAGGCGATGTTTTGTTTGTTTGCAGAGATCTCCTGTGCTGGGTCAGACTCCCCAGGGGGCCCTAATGACTTGGGCAGGGCCAGTCTGTAGCCAGGAGCCAGCAGTCCTAGCTCTCCCGTATGGGTAACAGGGCTCCAGGTATGTGGACCATCTTCCGCTGCTTTGCCCAGATACTTAGCAGGGAGCTAATTTGGAAATGAAGTACCTGCTCTTCCACTATGTTGGCCCCGTGGGGGGAGGGGTTAGGTTGGCCCAGCAGTTACATTGTGGCTGGGGACCCCTTCATCCCCCATTAGGGTGCCTAAGGCTGAGTCATGGCTTCGCTTTACATTCTAGCTTCCTGCTCATGTGCTCTGTGGGTGGCAGCAATGATGGCTCAGCCAGCTGGGACCCTGCTGCCCACTTGGGAAACCCAGCTCGTCTGAATTCTTGCTTCCTGGCTTTGGGCTGACTCAGTACTGGCTACCTGGGGAAAGAATAAACCGGCAGATGGAAAATTGTGTGTGTGTGTGTGTGTGTGTGTGTGTGTGTGTGTGTGTGCGCGCGCGCGCACACATGCCTGCCTTCCAAATAAAGGCAAAATATGTTTTTTTTTTAAGAGCAGAAGAGGGTCCAGCACAGTAGTCCAGTGGCTAAAGTCCTCACCTTGCACACACCAGGATCCCATATGGGTGCTGGTTCTAATCCTGGCTGCCCCACTTCTCATCCAGCTCCCTGCTTGTGGCCTGGGAAAGCAGTCAAGCACAGCCCAAAGTCTTGGGACCCTGCCCCCTCATGGGAGACCCGGAAGAGGCTCTGGGCTCTTGGCTTCAGATTGGCTCAGCTCTGGCCGTTGTGGCAACTTAGGGGGTGAATCATTGGATGGTAGTTCTTCCTTTCTGTCTTGTCTTCCTCTCTGTCTTATCTGCCTTTCCAATTAAAAAAAAAATCTTAAAAAAAAAAAGCTGAGGAAAGATATGTTTGGAGGCAAAACAAACAAATCTTGCTGAATTTTCTTTTGAGAAGCTGGGAAGATGATGTTATATCTGTGATAGACACAAAGTGAACCAGTTGTGACTTGGAGGTGAACAGGAATATCATGCACGTTTGGAACACACAGATGGAAATCTGAGCTAGACAGATGTGAGTCTGGAATAGAGAGGAACCCCCAGTGCACCTGCCATGTGCATGGGCAGGTGGGGGCTGCCCTGTGTGGGCCCGGAGCATCTCGCTGGTGTTTATGTGGGAATCATTGCCCGGGAGATGGCATTTAAAGCCACTGGAAATAACAAGATGTCAACAGACTCAAAGCTAATCATTTTTTATTATTTAAGAAACAGAGATGAGAGGAACCTGCTTTCCTGCCTTAAATGGCTGCAGCAGCTAGAGGCAGGCTAAGTCAGAGCTAGGAGTTGGGTCCCCCACCCGAGCGGCAGCGACCCAACTACTTGAGCCATGACCTGCTGCCCGCCATGGCTCAGGTTAGCAGAAAACACGAGCTGAGGGCAGAGCGGGAACTGGAGCCCAGGCGCTGCACCCTGATGTGGGCGCCCCAAGCAGAGCCTTGAGCACTGCGCCAAACGCCCAGCCGTCCTGTCAGGATAGCTATTCAGTGTTGGTCCCAAATGCAGCAAGTATTACATCTTCGAGAATGCTGTAAATTATGTTTTGATGATGAAAATGGAATTCATCTCTGAACTTCTTTTGTGTGGCCCCTTTTTAGATAACTGATAAAATTCACATCGAATCAAATTCGAAACACGTTCATGCTGACATTTTGCATATGGCCGAGTCAAGATCACCTGCTTCATGAATCATTGTCCTCAAGCTCCTATATTCAAACAATTTTATGATTTTTTATGGCTTTTTATTGATTTTGTAATATTTTTGCAGTAAAATGTTTTATCCATCTGGAATTTATTTTAGTAGAAAGTGGGGGAGAATGAATATAAATTTATTCGATTGCAGATTGTAGCCCGCTGTCTTAAAATACTTAGCATGTGAACCTGGGCTGTTTGCATTCATCTGAAATGCTGTTTGCTGAATTCTCAAGTGACTCCTACATCTGTTTTTGGAACCTGTATCTCTTTTCACCGACCTACCTACTCATAGGCAAGGTGATGTCTTTATGTCAAATGCAGGTTGCATGCGTTTTAAAAGCATGCCCATGTTATAATAACTGAGCATCTTTCAAATGCTTTGCTCGTGTCCCATGAAGTTGTTCCACATGATAAGCCGATCTGAGATTGAGTCAAAACATTATTGAAAACTTTTACTTCCTCTACTTTGTCAGTTTCACATCCTTGTTAATATTTCCAAGAAAACCTGCTTGAGAAAGTGCTTGTTATTATGAATTTGTGAATTTAGTGTAATAGAAATAGCAGTTTTGCCGTTTTTGAAGCTTAAACACTCTTGAAGCATATGTAAAAGAAAAAAGTGGATGGAACCAGCCAATTTTAGATGAAAATTATAAGAGGACTTTATCAAATATAAACATGATGAAAACGGGAATAAAGGAACAGGTGTTTAGCTTTGTTGCCTGCAAATGAAAGCAGCTTTATGATGTAAAGAACTGTGGAGGATTGTGTCAACAAACGAGACTGTTGTGAACAAAAGTGTGTTCGTGATGGCACAGCTGCTATGAGAGAATTCAAACTTTTTCCCTGAAAACTTAATACTCGAGTGTGCTAAAGTAAACCAGCCAGATACTATTAATAGGAGAAAGACAGGCAATTGTGTGTGTGTGTGTGTGTGTTACCAGAGCCACACAAAACCAGAAAAAAAAAAAGGCTAAGTGGTAGAAGCTTAAACGTCCTCTTGGCAGGAGAGAGAGAAGAGTAACAGATGTGGCAATGTAGAGGAGGGGGCTCATGTGTTCAGGGAGGTGAATGGCCCCAGAAAAAGCCCCCAGGGCTCCAGATGTGGTGGCTGGCTTGCTAGTGTGTAGGTAGGAAACAGAACTTGAGAGAACACTCTGTGGTCACAGGGAGGAGAGGCCAGAGGGCCTGAGTCGGGGAGGTGGCTGCTTAGGCTTTTGGGTCTCCTTTGTGGCAAAGTACATGCCGTGACTGCCGCAGCCCCAAACAGCCACCCCAGGAAGGCATTGTCAAGGTTAGGGAGCTTGCACCAGAATGCAAACCAGTCCACTCCTACCCTCATCAGGTAGTTTAACTTCTAGAATGAACCAATTCAGATAAAAGACGACATAAAATATATTTTTTAGCAATGTAAAGGCAGTGATTTAGGTATGAGGTTGCTCGCTTTGTTATTGATACTGAGCAACTCCCGAGTTGGGATGCTGAAGGACTGTAGTGGTCAGGAGAGTTTTGAGACAGTCTGCGCTCGTGACACTCCTGCTGGATCAGATACCTACCGGATCCGTTTGGTCAAAATTCCTACATGAGCTCTCACTTCTTGAAGATCGCACTTAACCCGATTTCTTTTTTATTTATTTATTTTTGAGATTTATTTACTTTTATTGGAAAGGCAGATTTACAGAGAGAGAGACAGATTTTCTGTGGCCGCAAAGGTCAGAGCTGAGCCAATGTGAAGCCCGCAGCCAGGAGGCTTTTCCGTTCTCCCATGCAGGCGCAGGGTCCCAAGGCTTTGGACTGTCCTCGACTACCCCCACCCCACCCCCCAGGCACAAGCAGGGAGCTGGATGGGAAGTGGAGCAGCCAGGACATAAAGGGATGCTCAAATGGGATCCTGGTGCGTTCAAGGCGAGCATTTAGCCACTAGGCAATCTTGTTGGGCTCAGCCTGATTTCTGTATTGATCTGATTCCTGTGGTATTTTTAATGATACTAATCCATCCTACAAACAAAGAAGTATGACTTATAAATAATAGCACAGCAGCTGCCTGGTTGTTCATGGCCAATTCAACATGCATGCAAGCAAATTACTTCCATTTCCCCTTCCAATACCTCTGCTTTCTGCTCCTTTTCCTAATTATCACTTACTTCTCATTTAAGTCAGATTCCTGAAAAATCAGCTTTTGGCCATCCGCTGCCATGCTCTGCATCCAGTCACCAGCAGAGTTGGGTTAGTTTTCTTGTTACAGTCAGTTGTGTGTGTGTGTGTCATGCAGTGGCCCCAGTTGCTACTGTTTTGTGTTGGGCCCCGATCCTGTCTGCCCTGGGCTTCCAGCAATCCATTCACCTCTGGCCACCACAGTTCTAGACTATGCAAATTTCCTCATGATAGTTTCCTATTAACGGCCTTTTATGGGCATCCTTTACCCCAGGAAAGGTTCAGAGTGACATGCGCAGTGCCTGTGTCTCCTCCCAGCATGCCTTGCCTAAACACAGCTGACCATTTTGTGTGCTTGGCATCCTCTTGTTTGCCTTCTTAACAGGCTTGAGATTTCCTTAAGAACCTTATGTTTTTCATTCTTTTTTTTTTTTTTTAATTCCTAGTTCTGGCAATGCCAGTACAACTTGGGATTTGTAAGCGTATTATTTCAATGAATACGTGAGAGCTTTCAGTCCATGATGGAAAGGGTTGGAGGAGAAGTTGATGTTGTTAAAAGGTAGACAGGGCAGCATGGTGGTGAGTGAGTTGAGACATTTTTAACCCCTGTTCTCAATGTGGTGTTATTTTGACTGTGATAGAGTAGAATGAGATGGTACCTTCTATTATGTCTTGTGTATTATTTAGAGCACAGCATCTTTACCCAGAAGAGAATGACTTTAGAATAACCAGAGAGCTTCTTATCACATTTAAACAGATTTGCTCATTGGCTAAAATGGAAATACACATGATATTACCACTTGCATTGCTTCCTACTTCTGCATTTTGCACTTGAGGATTTTCAGCAGAGGATCTATGTCCTGTGGAAATGTGCTCGCTCTTGAATTGCTTTTCAAATCGCTGCCTTTGTGCCAGAGAAAATGGTGCTGTGGGGTCCCAGCGTGGAGGGCAGCGGGCACCAGATGCGCTGGAGCGGGAAGGGAGGGGTTGCGTGCTGCCCCCCCCCCCGAAAGCTGTCACACCTGCCTGTCCGTGTGTTTGCTTGTAGGTTTCCGTCAAGGAGGAACCTGAGGCTCCAAAACGGGAACCGAAGATAGAGCTACTAAGTAGGAAGATTTCAGCAGGTATTCTGAAGTGCCTATTTGACACTTCACGTGATTGTCCTGTTTTTGTGAAAGTAGACAGGTTTGTCAAGAACAACTCAGAGAAGTCCTCATTGTCCTGCGTCGGAATAACCAAGCTTAACCTATCGCTCTCTGTCATTCTCACTGTCTGGATTTTTAATAGATCTATGGATCTATGGATCTATGTATCATGTTCCATAAATATTTTATGGAAAGGTAATTTTTCTTCCTAGTTACTACAGCAAAACACCAAACACTACATATTCTACATAAATGAATAATATTCATCATTGAACTAACACCACATTGGTAACTGCATTTGTTTTTTTTTTTAATTCTATCCAATAATGGAATGTTATTTACATCCCAAAGGAAGGACGATATGATTTCTTTCAGTGTCTTATTACAATATTTTAGTAAGTTTTCATGGGCATGCTTGCACTGTTAAGACTTTCTCAGCACTTCGAGTAATCCCAAATTTTTGCATTTCATCTTGTCCTGGGAAAGTCTTGGATAAAATGTGGACATGTCAGGGTGAACGCCGCCTCCTTTATCACTCTTCCAGTTGGAGATTTCGATACCTGTTGCCCATTAACCTAGTCAGGATTGTTGTTTCCTTGTAACTTCCAAGGGATCTATCCGCGTACTTCGTGGCATGTTTAGTAAGAGCCTTCTGTCTGCTACTTTTTCATTGTTTTAGCAGTCACCCAGGAGATTAAATCTTAATAATAAAACAGTAGTCCTTACCAGGTCAATTTTCTGCTAAAAACATGACACTGAAGTCAGATAAGGAAACTCTCTGGATGATGCCAAGTTTTTCTACATGGGAACTTCCCAAAAATAATTATTTAAAGTTTCACACAGCTTTTTTTCTCCCTACTTTGTTTTCAGGTAAATGATTTATGAATTAAATACTTTTTAAAAAACAGACTGCAATTTCTGGACTATGCACAAGGAGTAAAGGATGTTACTGCCTTTCATTTTCCTTGGCTCCATCCATCCCTTTGAGCACCTGATCTCCTGGAGTTACTTCTCTATCCCAGGGCGGCTTGGCGGGGTGAAAAAAGTTACAGCAGTAACTTTCCCAAGCTTTCACCGACTTCGGCCCAGCTCTGAGCTCCTGACATAACTCACTTCTGTGATATCTGTAGGACACCGTCGGTCTCATTTTGTGGATGAGACTGAGGACTGAGATGATAATTAGCATATTCTGCCTCTTACTTACACACACACACACACACACACACACACACACACACATACACGCACGAGAAAGACTGGTCTGAGTTTCCTTTCTTGACTCATACCTTCTGAGCTCATGTAACTTTCCCTGAAGGTTGGGTGGCCCTGTGAACTGCCATTTCAGCACTTCATTTGTACTGTGTCTGAGAACCATGACATCATAGACACCCTCCTAGAATCCTGTGCACCCCACATGATCCGATCCAGTATCTACACTTTGAAGCCTCCGTCTTTGTCTTTCTGTGAGCAAGGGCCTAGTTTTGTCTGGCAGGTGGAATCCGCTTACATTTTCAATATCTGTGTTTTCCTTGTCATACTTCAGTTGCATTTGTAGTTCTATAAAGTTTAACTTTAATTTGGCAACTAAGCATGTTTAAACAATTTTTTTTTTTGCAAATTTCTAAAATGTTACTATGGAATAAAATGAAGTCGTCCCCTACAGCCTACCTCCCATTCAATGTGGCTATTCCCACCTCTAAGCTTAGCTTGGTGACAAGTTTTAGTGGCTAGCTGAGCAAGAACCAGTTTGAGGATTTGTTTTCATTTCTCGCCCAAGAAAGCACAGTGACCCATTTGGAAACTGTCTTCCTGTCATTAACTTTAGTGCAGTTGATGCTGATCAAGAATGCGCCGGACAAGCCTGAGCTCTTCGAAGACAAGGAGGTGGACCTGCTGCAGTTCACAACCCTGGGCGGCGTGTACAACTTGGAGATCTTGCAGCTTCCTCCGCAGTGCAGACCAGTGAAGGGCTGGATGATCGTGGAGGTAGGTTGCTTCTTGAATAGACACCTCAAAATAAGTTTCTCGTTTGACTGTATTTCAAGTCTCTAATATGTAATGAACTTTTTTTGATATTCCAACTCTATTTTTTTTTTTAGTTGCTTATTTTTTATGATACCGTTCCTTGGGCTCAGGAATTTCCCCTTTCACCTTCCTCCACTGTTTTGCCCTGTATTGTTACAATGGTTTAGTTCCTCAACAATAATCACAAGTCCCTCACTCTTGTTTTTCTTTTTTTTTTTTTAAGATGTATTTTATTTTTATTGCAATGTCATACACAGAGAGGAGGAGAGATGGAGAGGAAGATCTTCCATCCAATGATTCACTCCCCAAGCAGCCTCAGTGACCAGAGTTGTGCTGATCCGAAGCCAGTAGCTTCCTCCAATCTCCCACACTGGTACAGGGTCCCAAGGCCGTCCTTATCTGCTTTCTCAGGGCACAAGCAGGGAGCTGGATGGGAAGGGGGGCCTCCAGGACAGGAACCAGTGTCCATATGGCATCTCACATGCATGCAGGGCAAGGACCCTAGTCAGTAGGCTACTACATGAATGAAGACAGCCAAGATCCAGCTAAGTGATGTGCAAAAACAGTGGCAGCTTGTATCTGCCGAGGACCAGGGGCCGTGTGCTCTGATGTAGAACAGAAATTGCCTGAGCGTGGTCCCTGGAGCAGACAGCATCATTCTCCCCTGGCATCATCTGGGGTTTGGAGAAATGCAAATCCCTGAGTGTGGCTTCAGACCACTGGATGAGAAGGCGCAGTCTGTGTTAGCACTGGTCTCGGTCCCTTAGTCTGAGCTTAGTCTGAGAAGCAGTGGTCCAGGTGGTACCAGCACAGCCAGTGCACGGAGCACAGCTGGGTGACAACACTGACAATAGCCCTTGGCAGATCACCTGTCACAGAGCATCTCAGTCCTCTTGGCTTGCTGTTGACTTTATTTGAACTTTACCTTTGGAGTAACTCGTGTCCTACAGCATACTCACATACTGTTCAGTATACTCACATACTGTGGGTCAAGCCTGCTTTCCCTTTATCTTCTCTCTCTCTCTCCTTCCCTCTATCCCATCCCTGTTCACATCCCCCTAGCCTCTCTCCATGCTGTCTTTGCTGTCTCCTCTTCAGTTCTTTCTCAAGCAATTTATTCCCACAGATACACTATTTATCTATTTTATGGTTATATGGGCACCTGAGCTTTCTCCACAGAAAGTCATTTTTAAAATTTTGTGGGGGAGGGGAGTATGGTGAAGCAACGTTATAGCATAATGGGTTAAGCCTTTGTCTACAATACTAGAATCCCTTATGGGCACCAGTTTGAATTCTGGCAGCTCCACTTCCTGCTAATGTACCCAGGAAAGCAGCAGAAGATGGCCCAAGTCTTTGGGTCCCTGCATTTACGTGGAGACCTGCAAGAAGCTCCTGGCTCCTGGCTTTGGCCTGGCCTCACCAAAATATTTTGGGGCATGGTGAGAGCAAGCTCTCAAGCTGTTTGACTTTCAGAACGCTTGCAGGGAGCTGGACCTTGGCAATCCAAGAACCCAATTATTTGAGCAGTCACCCGCTCCCTCTAGAGGGCTAGAGGTTAACCAGGAAACGGGAGTCAGGACTAGAGCTGGGAATCCCATCTCAGCTTCCAGTGTGGTACATGAGCATCCTAACCAGTGTCGTAACCACTGGGCCAAATGCCTGCCCCCAGCAGGACGTTTTTCACTTAGTTTGCCAACTAGCGTTCACCTCTGTGAAGGTAATGTTGCTAATCTTGGCTCCCCCCCGCCCCAGGAAAGAATACATTTATTGGAGCAAGTGCAGGGGAGGTAGTCTGGTTTATAGCTACCTGAGACTCTGAACAGTCTTCCATATTTCAGGAATGCTGTGTGGGGAAGGGTTGTCCAAGAAAGCCATGCCTCTGGTAACGTGGCCTTTTAAAACCACCATCAGCAGGTCGCAGCTGAGCTGGAGGTTTCCAGGATCCATCCAAAGCCCTCTACTTAGTCATTTTTGGGGGGATAAGCTGAGACCATCACTCCCTGCTCTCCTATAAGTCCCCGAACATCTCCTTTGCACCTGTATTTTTCTCCCTTGCAAGAAAAAAAGTGATAGTTCTTCTCCCCACGCCAAGGCAGTGTTCAGTAACTTCTTACGTCTAGAATTGTGCCCCATCCAGTCATTATTATTATTTTCCAGCACTTCTAATCTGGCTCACTTTTCTAGACCTTTCTGTGCTACTTGTAATAATGTGCAAGTCTTACTTATCCCGGGGGACTGTGCTTGCTGTCAGTACCCCCACCCGTTCATTCCTGCTTTTCTCAGCAGGTTTCCGGGCTTCCTTTTCTATGCCCTTATATGTTTCCAGGTCAATTCTAGGATGTTTATTCCAGATGGAGGTGAATAGGTTGTGAAATGGAGTTGAATTTTGTACGTGTTAGTGTCTACACTGTCTGTTTGCTGTAGTCTGTAACATTAATCTTATGATTGCATCATTAGATTTCCTTAGACTAATGAATAAAAAATGAAAAGCATACTTTCTAATAATCCAATCATTGAGAACCAGGTGTTTAAAATGTGAGCTTTTGGAACATTGATCTTTGCGATGTCGCATGGAGCCTGTAACGTTGGGGTCTGATGAGTAGGTTACTGAGTTCTCTCGCCTCCTTGAAGTTAATTTTGAAATATTTGGAAAATTACCTGATTTCTCTTAGTTATCTTCTGTGTTGCATACTCACACAGGCTTTGTAGGGAGGATAAGCTTAAAGTTCCCAGTGTAGAGTTGATCAGTAGGAAGTTGAGTAATTACACAGAACTGTAATGATTTCCCCCCCTTCATCAATCATTTCTCTTTTCATTTTGTTGACATTTAGTTAATCTATAGATCAATTGAATCAAACTTCAGTGCTTATTAAAAGTAACTATATTTTTAGCAATTGCCTGTCCATTTTCTACCTTGGTATTGTTTTGGTTATTTTTTAAAGCTACTCAAAGAAGGACTGCAGAGATTCACCTATCCTCCAGAGACCGAGGATGACAATGAGACGGAAGTCTCTTTTCCACCCATAGAGGTCACAATTGAAGTTCACAAAAACGTGGTTTTTTTTGAGGATCCTGAGGTTGCAAGGTGGGATGCTGAAGGTATGGTGATGCCTTAACTATCTCATAAACTATGTAATAAAAATGAGAATACTAACGATAAATCTTCAACTTTAAACAAGTGCAGTATGTAAAGAATTTCTTGTGTTATACATTTCCCATGCCAACGGTAGGATTTTTTGTTGTTGCTGATAGAAATTATCGATATGTTGGAGTTTAGGTTTTGTTTTTTATAAGTAGTAGTGCCTGAACTGTTTATATTTGCTGAACTGTGAGCCCTTAGTTTATAGTTACGTCAGTGCGTTTTGATTTTTAAAAGGGAATGAATGAAAATATCAAGGTAGTTTAGTAGATCAAAAAGAGCCTACCTTTGTAAGATGAACAATTCCTATTTGATTATGCTGATGTTTCTCATCTGGAACAAATTGCCAACAAGTCCTAGGAGTGGGGAGTGGACAAACAGAAACCTGAGAACGACAATAACTGGCCACCACATGTTCTGTGCTTTTGATTCTTGAAGTGTGGAAAATTACTGTTCTTTCAAAGTATTAAATACTAACAATCCTCAGTATCAGTAAATGTAGGCTAGTGATTAATCATTAATAAACACGCCCTCTTAGCCGCAGGCTCGCTGAATTTCGAGTGGGTTAATGTATCCCTTGCACATGTTGAAGACACCCAGTGTGACCCCACCACGCATGAGTACAGAATGTATTGATCAAGTTCGGTGCTTAGCATTCTCATCCGCTTGTTTTTCTTACTGCTCCTGCCCTGAAGCGCTCCGTGGCATGCATTGTGCGTCCCTGGGGGCTGTAGTCAGCTCTTTGCTGCGAACACCAGAACCTTCCCCTGCCATCCCCTGCCCAGCACCTCCTCTGGCCTTGAGGAATGACTGCCGGGTGGGAACGAGCCTTTCCTTAGCTTGCACACATTGATGGGAATGGGGTATCTGTCTCTATTGTGCCTAGTGTATTTCGCTTCATGTAACGCTGTCTGCGAATGATAGAGTTTTATTTATGGCTACTGTTTTGATTTTTGTACACTTTGCCTTTACTGAGCTCATTCATCAGTACAGGCTTTTATATCTTGCCTGATTTTATATTTTGCCTGATTTTTCTGAGTCAGTCTCGCTCCATTATGGTTAATAAGAGCAGTGAGAGAAGGATCCTTGTCCAGGTCCAGATCCTAAAGGGGAGAGAAAGCTTTTTGTTTCTTTCAGTTAATTTTGATGTTGGTTGTGGGTTTGCCGTCTGTGGCCTTTATGCTGCTACATGTTTGTCTCCACCCAATTTTTATATGGCTTTTAGCCCATCGAACGATATTGAATTTTACCAAATACTTTATCTGTTGGTATGATCATTGGACTTTATGTTTCTTTATATTGATAGGGTATTTTTAAAAATTATTTTCCTTATATTGAACCATCATTGCATCCTTGGGATAAATCCTACTTGATTATGGTGAATGGTCTTTTGATACATTGTTGATTTTGATTTTCTACTGTTAGAATGGGATGTTTGCATATGTGTTCATAAGGAAGATTGGTTTGTCTGTTGTATCTTTGGTTATGGCATCAGGAAAATGTGGCCACATGGAATGAGATTTGGAGGTGTCCTTCCTGTGATTCATTTTAATAGTTTGGTGTTAATTCTTCCTTAGATAGTAGGTGGGGGAGCCACATAGTGTGCAGTGAGTGGGTTTAAATGATGAATGTTACGTGGCAGCTCATGTCGGATCACCAGTCTACGTTCCCGCTGCTCCACTTCCAGTGCAGCTCCCTGCTCACATGCTTGGGCAGGTGGCAGGAAATGGCCCACATACTCAAGTCCCTGACTGCCGTGTGGGAAGCCCTGATGGACTTTCTGAATCTTCAGCCTACTACAACATGGCTGTTAGAGCCACATGGAAGTGAACCAATGGATAGAATCAATCATCCCACCTCTCTCTCTCTCTCTCTCTCTCTCTCTCTCTCTCTCTCTTTCTGTTTCTGTTTCTGTTTCTGTTTCTTTCACGCTACTAATGTTTTTTCCCAGAAGAATGTTTCAAGGGCAGGGTAGGTGGCAGCATGGCAGCTTAGGCTGCAGCCTGAGACACTAGGGTCCCCTGAGTGCTGCTGTGTATCTTCTCTGCCCTGCTCTGACCTGGTTCCCTGATGATGGCTCCTGACTTCAGCCTGACCTGTTCCATCTCTCCCTCTCTGTAGCTCTTTCAAATAAATGAATAAATAACTAAGGAAATGCATGTTTTAAAGGAATATGTAATTGAGCAATGATGTCGTCCAGCACTGAGCCTACCTTTGTTGGGAGACTGTTACTGGTCAAATCTCCTTACTTACTAACGACCTCCTAAGTTTTTTTCCTGTCGCTCAGTTTTGGCGGGTTATTTGTATCTGCGAATGTACCCTTATCTAAGTTTTCCATCATGTTGGCCATTTATTTATCATGTTGGCCATTTCTTCATAGTCATTAATAATCTTTTGTGTATCTTGAGATTTCATTTCTGATTTCGAGTCTTTTTCTTGGTTAGTTTTGCTTACAGGTTAGTTTTGCTTACAGGTTGGTGAATGTTTTTTTGGTCTTTCACTTAGTTACTCTAAAACTTTCTATCCTCCTAACTTTGTCGTCTTCTCTAGGTCCTTGAGATGCACCATTGAGTTCTTTGATACCTGTTATTTTTATGCAGGCACTTACTATTTTAAACTTCCCTCTCAGTGCTAGTAAATTTGAGTATATACCATTTGCATTTTCATTGATTTCAAGAAATAATTTCCCTTTTAGTTTCAATGACCTGTTCATTGAAAAGACAGTTGTTCACTCTTAATGTATTTGAGTAATTCCTAAAGTTTCTTTTGTTGTCGATTTCCTGCTTGATTATGTACTGAAAGTAACCTTTTCTGCAGCTCTGTGTGAGAGGTAAAGTAAATGTGTCTTAGGTTTATTTGGTCTGGAGCACAGTCTAACTCTGTTTCTTTGTTCATAATTGTGCTAAGATGAACTCTGTTGATAGGAGGAAGTTGAAGTCCTCCTCTATTGCATTGGCATCCCTTTCTTTCCCGAGATCTGAGCATGTTTCATTACAGTGAGTGATTTGGTATTAGATACATATATACTTAGAGCTGAAATATCTTCTTGCTGAAGTAGTCCTTTGAGCATTAACTAATGACCTTTGCATTTTTTTTAAAGATTTGTTTATTTTATTGGAAAGACAGAAGGGAGAGGGAGAGAGAGAGAACTGAACCAAGTTCTTCCATTCACTGATTCACTCCCTCCAATGGCCACAACCGCTGGAGTTAGGCCAGAGCTTCTCCTGGTCTCTTGTGGAGGTGCAGGGGTCCAAGGACTTGGCCCAGCCTCTGCTGCTGTCCCAGGCCAAAGGCAAGGGGCTGGGTTGGAATTGGAACAAGTACCTGTATGGGATACTGGCACCATGGGTGGAACTTTCCTTTTTGCAAATAGTTTTTATCTTTGTCTATTTTTGCTAATTGTTAAGTGCAATTACTTCTTAGTTTTGGCTTTTATTTGCAAGAACTATGATGTGCCGTTCTTTAACTTTTTATCTGTGTCTCTGCTGGGTGAAGTTAGTTACTTGTAACCAGGTTGTCATTTTAATTTATTTTCAGTCTGTTTTAATTACAATCAAGTTCTTTATTGTATGGTTAAAGACTTAGCTGGACCTATCAAGTTAAACTACTTGCAATGCTATCTTCCTCTTCAGTTTTTCACCGTTGTGGTTTGTTGGTTTGTTGAATGGACAGGTTATAACATTTAAAACTTCTTTTTATTGCTTTTTAAAATTTTTATTGGAAATGCAGAATTAAAGAGAAAAGGAGAGACCAAGGTCTTCTATCTGCTGATTTACTTCCCAGATGGCTGCAGTGGCTGAAGCTGAGCTGATCCAAAGACATGAGCCAGGAGGTTTGTTCGTGTGTCCACATGGGTGCCAGGGCCCAAGGCTTTGGGCCACCCTCTGCTGCTTGCCTAGGCCACAGGCAGGAAACTGAATGGGAAGTGGAACTTAGGGAGCCAGATGGGAAATGGAGCAGCTATTACATGATCTGGTGATAATATAGGATGTTGATGCTAGAAGGCAGAGGATTAGCCAGTTGAGCCATTGCACCAGTGCCCTACAGGGTTTTATACTTGGCTGTTTCCTAATGTGTTTTATACTTTGATGGTCTCTAGTTATCTTTTTAGAATTTGTCTTCATTTTTATTTGAAAGATAGAGAAACAGATATATAGACACTCATGTTCCATTCATGATTTATTCCCCAAATGCCTGCGAGAGCCAGGGCTGGGCCAGGCCGGAGTCAGGAGCCTAGAACTCCCATCTGTGTCTCCCATATGGGTGGCAGGGACACAGATACGTGAGCCATCACCTGCAGCCTTCTGGGATGGGCCTTAGCAGGAAGCTAGAGCAGGAGCAGACCAGCCTGGACTCCAGGGAGCCACTGCAGTGTGGGATGTGGGCGTTACAAGCAGCCTGACTGGTGTGGCACACGCCCACTCCATGGCAGTGGCGACCTTTATTTTACCTCTGGGTGTACAACTCTCCTGAGCATCTTTTGAAAGACCAGTTTGGTGGTGCTGAATTCCTTCTGTTTGTTTTTGTATTTTTCACTATTGCCGTTTTGCTATGTTTTGGTTGCGGGGAGGGGGAGGGTTGATTTGATTTTCTTGGGGGAAAAAAAAATCTATTTCTCCCTGGTTTTGAAGGATAGCTTTGCTAATCTTGGTAGACTTTTTTTCTTTCATAACTGACGCCATTCTTTTCCCTTGTGGCTTATAGAGTGTGAGTTGAGTTATCTGCTGTGGCTTGAATCTGTTGTTACGCTTTCATGGCTTGATTTGAAGAGGTCTGCTGGGGACTTTCTCTGTCTCCCTGAGGTCCTGTCCCTGTGTGTATGTGGTCCATCTGGCTGGTACGCAGCCCTTGTGTCATGAAACAGGTGTTCTGTGCCTTGATTCTTCTCCTTCAGGTATCCCCCCCAAAGCAGCTTCTTGTTCGTTCCGTGCTATCCTAAAGTCTTAGAGATCATCCTTACGTGGTGTGGGCGTAGGGGTGTGTTTACCCGGGAGATTACGTCTTTCCCAACTTCAGTTATCCTGTGCTCCTGTTTGCTCTATATGATTTCAAGGCTTTTAGCTGTGGTTTCTTTGTCTTGTGTTTATGCATTTGAGAGGTCTAGAGACATGGGGGAAGCGGAACAGTGCTTCACTCATTGCGTCATTCCTCACATGCGTATGGGTACCATGCAGGTGCATCATGTGGGTGGCAGGGAGAGAGTCAGTGACTGAGGCAGCAGTCACATCTCCAGGTTTTCCTCTCTGGGATGCAGGAATCTCCTCCATCTTTCCTGATGGTCACTGTCTCATCAGCGTATTTTGAATCCGTGATTGCATTACTCATTTCTAAGACTTTTGCTTGGCTCTCTTTTCAGGCTCTTTATCTCTTTGAATTTTTCATTCATGTCCTGAATCATTTCCTAATTCCCTCAGTCTGCATATTCTTGTATCGTGGGATTTCCTTATAATTTTTCTTTCACTTTTGTAATCAAATGTTTCCTCAATCTCCTTTGGTTTGGAATTCTGCTCCTAGTTGTTCTGGTACCTTTCATTTTCCCGTCATGAGATGTGCACATTGGACATAGCAGTGTTCTCTTGCACTTTTCTCAGGCGGATTTTATAATAACTTCTCCCCAAGGATGCATCTTAGTATGTTGGTTTGCTAGGCCATGTTGGCTTTGGTTACACTGGGGTGGTACGGCGTAGCGATGTGAAATCCTGTCTTTCAGGAAGTTGCCTTACAACTGTGGGATCAGAGAGCTCTTCTGATTCCGAGACCCAGGGTTGAGGGGTGTGTAAGCATAGCATGTGCATATGCTGCGTGATACTGGAGCAGTTTGAGTGATGGCGTTAGAAACACTGAGCTTGCTGGGTGCCTCTTCAATAATGCAGCAGGTAGGCAGAGGGGTGGTACATTTGGGCTCAGGCTAGTTCTATGTTGGTCATGTGTCACAGCAATGGCACAGGGGGAGGGTGGCACATACCCGTTGGCCTAACAATGGCTGGTTGTGAGTGATTGTCACTGGGAAATCACATCATTTGTGCCAGCAGTGAATATGTGAGGTCAATGGCAAGCACGCAGCGTGGCTCGGCCCATGAAATGTACCCCCTTGCTATGGCAGAGGCTTAGAAATAGACGGTGCCAGTTTCTGCCCTCAAGTGAGAGTCAGGGGTGGACTCAAGGCCAGCAGCATGTGCACAGCTCTCCTGTCATGACAGTCACTGGCATCCACGAGAGTGGGTGCCACCGAGACTTCACCACAGACCCAGTCCCTCCACATGGTGGAACTGCCCTGGCCAGTGCAGCAGAGCCATTGCTTCTTACTGGCTTTGTGCAGACCCTGCACTGGGACACACCTCCACGTGCTGCAAAGGTTCCTGTGCACTGTGTGTCTCGATTTGCTTCAGCCCCAAACGCAGCTATTTTGAAAAAATTAATTCAAAGGCAGAGTCACACACACACGCATACACACACACACTCATTTCACTTGCTGGTTTATTCTCTAGATGACTGTAGCTGCTAGGCTGAAGCTGGGATCTAGGGGCTTCATTTGGGTGCCCCACTTGGGTGCGAGGGCCCAAGGGTTGGGGCCCTGTTCAGCTGCTCTCTTTACAGGTCTCGGGGAACGGGATCAGAAGTAGAGCAGTTGGGACTTGAACCGGCGCTTGTGTGAGATTGTGGCATTGCAGGCAGCAGCTTAATTCATTGTACCACAATGCCCATCCACAAACGCAGCTGTTCAGTGGCTTCATTCCAGTTTCTGCAGGAGAAGGCACCAGCCTGGGCACCTCTGTGGTGTCCTCTCGCCAGTCTGGCCGGCTGAATACAGAAAGGCCTTCATGTGATGGCTGAGTTACGTAGTTTTGAGGATTCTAAATAAATGCTGCGAGGTGGTATTTTTCAAATTGTTTCACATTCATCCCTTTGTAAAGGGATTTCCAGGTCTGGGGGAAGGACAGAGACTGGCTGGAGAACTAAGACAAGGGGCTCTTTCTTCATCGACTTTCAGCTACTTTCAGAAAAACTGAGGAACTTCTGCCAAAAGTAGTTTATGCTTCTTTACAAATAACTCAGTGCTCCACATTTCTACTTCTATAGATAGGGCTACAAGATTGTGTATATTTCAAATAGTTCATATATTAATGATATAGTTCTGTAATTTCTGTTTGGATACTGCTTTTTAAAGGTGTCACTGTATTAGTCATTGTTCTTAAGTGTTCATTACATCGAAAATTCATCACTTGATTAGAAGTAGACAAGGTAAGTTACCCTGCACAATCCAGGGAGGTACAATTTGTGCACAATTTAGGAATAATGTACATTTCCAATGATGTTAAAACTATGGGGAAACTGTTGGCCAGAAAATAGTGGGAATTGGTAGTTTTTTGAATGAAATGTTTATTTCCATGTAGTTGAAGGAGAGAGAGAGCAGGAGCAAGTTTCCACCACTGGTTTACTCCCTAAACGCTCGGGTCAGGCTAGAGCCAGGAGCTGCAGCCGGGTGGTTTGTGGGTGTGCCCAGGGCTCAAGCACACGAGCCATCTGCTTCCTGCCTGGTGCAGCAGCAGAGAGCCCGATGTCAAGCAGAGCAGCCAGGGCTGGAATCAGCACTCGGATGAAGCCTGCAGGTGTTCCAAGGGGCCAGTAGACCACTGCGCAAGGCCTTCCCTGGAGAGTTTACTGTAGTCAGTAATACTTGAGTGTACACGTTAACACGATGGGGTGGGGGGAGGAGCTGCGGATGCTGTTGGGGTCCATCCTCACCGGCCAGGAAGGCGTCTGCAAAGGGGGGATCCTCTACAGGGCTCGCGGAGACAGAAAAGCTGCAGACAAGGTGCCGTGTCAACACACATACTCCTGGACAGGGACTTACTACTTATCTTGGTAAGTTTATATATAATAGTTGAAGGAGCTACCAAAGCAGTTTTCAAAGTGGCTGCATCATCTTAGACGTCTGCCGTGAGTAAGTTTCCTGGCCCACATCTGTTATGTGATTGTAATTATACCCATCCGTAGTGGGTGTGGACAGGATCTTGTTATTTTAATATACATTACCCTAATTGACTAGCATGGTTGAATTTTGTTTAAACTTATTAGACCGTCACATAGCTATAGTGAAATGCTTATGTCAATCCCTTACGTACTTCTAAATTGGCTTTTTAAAATTTGAGCTGTAAGATACATAAAAAATCATGTATTATGTAATTGCATTTATCGCAAAAGCCCAGACAGGGCATGGAGAGGTTGCTAATGGTTATCTGAGACTAGAGAGGGGAGTGAGAATTTTCTGTCGATAGATTTGGGCCCAGCACGGTGGCCTAGTGGCTAAAGTCCTAACCTTGCATGTGCCAGGATCCCTTGTGGGCACTTCTTCATATCTTCGCTGCTCCATTTCCCATCCAGCTCCCTGCCTGTAGCCTGGGAAGCATTCGAGGATGGCCCAAAGCCTTGGGACCCTGCACCCATGTGGGAGACCCAGAGGAAGCTCCTGGCTCAGCTCAGCTTAATTCTTGCTGTTGCGGCCACTTGGGGAGTGGACAAGTGGACAGAGGATCTTGCTGTCTCTCCCTCTCTCTGTAAATCTGTCTTTCCAATTAAAGATAAAAACTGAGTAGATTTTATTGGGGGAATAAAAATGTCCAATAGCTGAGGTATAGGTACTTGGTGCTACAGTGAAGTTGCCCCTTAGAAGGCCTGTGTTCTATGGGCAAAGAGTCTGGCTTCCAAACCAGCGCCTTCTCCGTGTATTCCCTGGAGGCCAGCAAGGACCTCAGTGCCTGCCTCCTCCCTAGAGCACCAGGATGGAGTTTCCTGGCCTCTGGCCTGGCCCAGCCACGGCTGTTGCAGATGGGCAGTCCACGGGCAGCAGCTGCACTGCTACCCTGTGCTGCACTGCCTTTCAGATGCGGTGGAAGTTTTTAAAAACCACCTCAGAATGTTCCATAAGTCGATTGTGGTGTGACTACTGCATAACTAAGTAAACTTAACTAAAAATAATGACGTCCTTAAGACAGGTGAGTTAAGTTGATATTGTCCGAAAGCCATGGCCAGTGGGATTTTTCTGAAAAAACAGGGCAGAGCCTACCAGGAAGAGAGGACTCCACGTGCAGAGGCCCAGAGGTGCGGGGTGTTGATGCGGGGAGGGGTGGAAAGGGAGGAACTAAACTAGGGCTGGAAACAGGTATGTGAAATGGCAAGCGATGAAGCCGAGAGAGAGTGGAAGCTTCATCCTGAAGGTCGTCCTGCATGCTGAGCAGCTTGGACTGGATCCTGTGGGGAGGGCAAAAGCAGCCAAGCTGTTTGTTGAGCTTCTAAAGAGAGGAGTTCGTTTTGTACACATTGCAAGTGTTTGGGTGATTCCATCACTAACGGCACTTCACTCTTGATGAAGGTAAATACTGGACAACAGATGGCATCAGCAATATCTCGTACAAACGGAAAGAAAGACTTGTGACATTCAGCCTGGACACTTTTGGCCCCGTTACCTTGATCCAAGACACTCACATTAACATGCCGTACCAGTCCTGGGAGCTGAGACCACTTGAATCAAACACGGTACTTCTCACCGTGACTACTGTGTTCACGGAGGTTCAAATAAAAATCAAGGTGAGTAGCTATCCAGGAGTCCCAAAGGGGCAACTCTTAACATTTTCATTTCATGCATCAATCACTGTCGATTTATCTATTGAAATGCAAGCCTTTGTGGCTGCATATAAAAATGTACTTTGAGCTATCATTTTTAGAAGACTACTTGAATAAATAGATAGAAGTAGAGAGGCTCAAAGTTGTACCCCAGAGTTACTAGGGGTAGATCAGTGAGGGGCTCAACAAGCCTTGTTACAGCAGGAGCATCAGGAATTTCGGAAGCCTTGCTCAAGGGCTTCCTGATCCCTGTCATTCAGTGGAGGTTGGTGCCTTCCTGAAAGGGCCTCCATGGGGTTACATGTGCAGGGATAGAGGGTGATCCTGGCTGTCAGGATCAATGTGGGACTGGAGGTTGACTGTCAATGGGGTGTAGCGGTTCTTACTAGGGGGGAATGACATGTTCTCCAGTTGGCATCTGGTGACACATGTACCACTTAGTGAAGTTACTCAAAATCACAGGGTTAATATATTTAAAGTGGGTGAATTTTATGATAAAAGGTATAACCGTTTCTGAAAAGGGAGCCTGGAACTCTGAGTGTGAGAGCTGGCTAGAATATTACCAGACTTGGAGATGGGGGCACAGCATCCTCCATGTGACACAGACCCTACAAATGTTTGTAATTGACTCTTGCATTTTTCTATCGTTGGCAGGCTGAGTGGCCCCCTAAGGCTGCTCAGGGGATTCTAGGGCTGGGGCCTGGTGGGGCTCATGGACCCAGGCGGTGCTGTGTCTGCTAAGTTGCCTGTGTCCCCACAGCCCTCACAGGAGGACACCAATACTTGCTTACTTGCTTGTTTATCAATAGGAAGGAGGAAACACCAGGAACCAGAGTCCCTTAACAGATCAGGCTTCAGGGGAGTGCAGGTTCCCTGGGGCATGGAGCTGCCTGCAAGTGAGTAGCCCAAGGTAATACACTGGAGCCATGAAATGCACATCCAGTTTTGAATACTTGGTCTAAGAAATGAAAATTAGCTAATTTTCATACTGATTACATATAGATATGTCTGATTATCAGTAAAATATCCTGCAAATGATACACACATTCTGTACACCTTCCAATGGCTACTTTGCCGAATTCTAAAACTAGATTATTTGCATCAGCATCTTTACTGTACAGCCACGACTGTCAGCTTCTAACAGGCCTGGACAACAGGAAGAGACGGAAGACCTTCTGTTTCACTCCCAGCTGAAGCACAGGAGCCCTGGGCCCATGCGTGGGGCTGTCAGAGCAGCCTGGCAGCTCCTGCCCTGTGTTCTTCATGTCCAGTGAAAGGGTTTGAAAAAAGTACCCACCTCAATGATGGATGTAGAGTATAGTGTAGTGTACTGCTTTAATTCATAACTTCTTCTCTTTTTTACACCAGGAAAACCTCTGCATGTTAGCATCCATCAAACTGAAAGACAGGAAGCACCTCTCGGTTTTGGAAGGGAAATGGATGACTCCTATTCCTTTCATTAACGCTTTGAAAGAAGCTGGAGTGAATATCTTCCCTTCTGAATACTCTCATTTTTATGTTGTCATGAACAATAAGGTAAGAAAATGTCTAAATTCAATATAGGCGTGTAGAATGTTAGCAACTATTTTATGTGACTGTTCAGGTGCACCCCACATTCGATTCTATGTGCTCTTACAGGGAGCATTGGTAGGAAAGAGTAAGTGAAAAGTCAGGAATCCAAGGTTCTCTGAAGTTGAACCTACTTCATGGAGAACACAGACCTGAAAGATCTCGCCCTATGGACAAGGTCGGGGGGCACTTCCGCACCTGGCCAGTGTGGTGCCAAGGTAGTCTGAGCAGCTTCTCAGTTTGTATATTTGGAGAAGGGATATTTCTAAGATTTCCTAGAAGACCAGGTAATTTGGCGTCTTCCCAAGTCAGGCAAAACTGAACGCCTGCAAGGGTCACCCCCACAGGAAGTCGACTTCCTTGGACTTGGCCCAGCCTCTAGGTTTCTTGCGTTGCCCATAGGGTGTTAAATAGAGTCCTTTCTATGTTAAAATTGAGTTTCTTGAGGACAGCAGCAGTTCCCCAATGTAAATTCTTCTAGAATCAGCAAATTCCTGGTCTACACCTGGCTAGTCAATGTGTGAAACACAAAGTAACTTCTACTTACAGCTTCTCCCAGTAATGTTCTTGCACTTTGTTGGCAGTAGACTAGAAAATAACAAGCCATAGAGACAGACCTTTATAGGGCATTGGGAGGTAACCTTGTAGCCAAGGCAACAGTAACCTATGCATGGCAACCACAGACCGCCTGGTTTCAGTATCTGAACTTGCCTGTTATTCTGCAGGGCCTGTCAGGCTTACAGAAGACTGCAGAAAGAAATATTTTGTTAAACACCTATATACAAGGCACCAGTTGGATGAGCGGGATGTTAGTAGTGAGTGAAACACCGGTGCCTACCTGTGTGGAGCTTCCACTGTAGTAGAGGGAAAACAAAACCAAAAAGGCAGTGATGTTGCTAGGAAGACAAAGCACACCATGGTTAAAGGAAAGCAGAAGTGCTGGCGGGGGGTGGGGGGCAGAGTTAACAAGAGTGCTAAGGTTACGAGAAGGTAGGCTGTACGCAAAGCCTCTGGCCGAGGAGTGGATCCAAATGGGCATGTGCAGGGAGAACAGCACAGCTGCTGGAGAGCATGCAAGGGTGCAGCCTGCATCTGCGAGGAGGGAGGAGCAGAGAAGGGAGGAGCAGGTAATGTGGTCCTGGAGAGTTTTGTTAGAGAAGAACCCAACGTTAGCAGTGGTTTGGCAGACGCTTGTTAAACACTGGGGTTGATGCTGTCTCTCCGTTGACAGGTTCCTGTAGTAGAAATGAAAGCTTACCGACAGATAGCCCTGCTGAGTCCCGCCTTTGCCTTTGGTTGGAGCAGGTGGAATATGCTGTGCAATTCTACAAAGGTTGTGTTTAAGGTACAGTATCCAAAATGAAATGTACACTGTGACCCCTCCAACTAAAAAGAACAGTAAAGAAATAACTCGCTGATGGATGAATTTGGAATTTTCACTTGAGTTAGCCCCTACCTGCAAGGTACATAACAGGTACAAGGTCGATACATCCTTGGTGCTAGCCTCCAAAAATTAGATAGAAAAGTAGCATCTTGGTTAAAAAGTACAAGACTTAAGACTGTTTATAAACGTAGTCGTCCAGTGCTAGAGTTGAACCGGAAGGGCTGAAGCTCTGTGAAAGAGGAGGAACCCTGGTGATGGATTTGTCTGATTTTCATGCAGGTGAAAGAATATCTTAGAGAGGCAGCTGCTGAAAGTCCCAAGTGGGACCTTCTGCTCTTCAGCGGGGAGAGAGCCCAGAGACTCAAGGTGGACGAAGACAGCGAGTCCTTCTCCGAAGCCCTCAAAGACAACACCGAGTTCCACTCCACTGTGTTTCACATGGTTAAGGATTTTGCTTCCAAAGAAGCGATGGAGGTGGTTAGGGATCCCCCGTGCCTCTTGGTTGACGCCGTGTGTCACATGCTGTTCTCGACTAGAGTGCTTAGCTACTCTTAATCGCCACATGCAACCTTGATTCAAGAACCAAATGTGGGGCGAACAAATCAGGTATGTCTTCAATAAAGCAAATGAATAGCATGTTTCCTACTGAAAGTGGGGCTTATAGAGAATTGCAACAAGGTCACTGCATCTCAATGCTTCTTTATTTCAATAAAATCTAGCAGAATAATATACTATTTCCTCCCCCAAAAGCTCACTGAAACACCATCCAGGCTTTCGCCTGCCGCTGTTCTCTTCTAGCTGCACTAATCAGCAGAGCAGGGAATGTAGAGTATCTTAGTGATTCTGACAATCTCCACATTTGGATATTGTCCCAGGTAAAAGTTACTGATTAGCACAGTTCAGATACTGAAACTTTAAAATAGTCATACAGATAGGTAGACACGCTGCACTCACACTGGAGGTGGCGCATCGTGTCGCAGTCCAGTGAATGGCCACAGGATGTGTTCCAGAGAGTGCCAGGAGTCCCCGTTGTGGGTGGGAGCAGCGTCCACGGACTTGGGGAAGAACGGGCCCAGGAGGAAGCTCATCAGAGCTGCGAACAACACGATGAAGGCGGCAGAGAGCCAGAGGGTTTTGCGTACCTTCTGGAAGGAGGTCTTGAGGTACGCTGCCCAGGAAGCTACGATGTCAGAACTACAAGGGAAACACAGCACGTGGTATGGTAACTGACATCAGCAACATTCCGTAAGTCCCACCACTATTGCCTTACACTTAACCCCCTGGGTTGGGGTACCATGCCTAGCTACCCTCATTAGAATGAATGCTCTAAAAATCATGTGATTTAGACTTTGGGTACAACCGAGCGCATGCATTTGTTAATACTTAGTCAACTGGGTATGGTGCTGTGTATATAATCATGCACCATGTCATGTTTTCCTGGTATACTTTAACTATAGGAAAACAACCTGTATTTCTTTCAGAGCCGCCCACGGTATTACAGGACTGTGTAAAAAGTCTTTGAAAATAATCACTGTCTGGCATAGAGTATGTGTAACAGAAGAACGTATGTTCTATCCTGTTTCAAGGGGGATGAAATGGGTTCATCTGTCCAATGTGGAGCACCCAAATCACACAGCTTGCTAGAAGCTGGAATTTGAGCCGGGTGCCGCTGAGCAAGGACGCAACTCACATGGAAGAGACCTCCCACTTGGGGGAGTTACTTTTCTTCTCAGACACACTTGATTTCCTTGTCTTCTCCACCGTTTCTTCCCCAGGTAATGGTTCAGCATCGTCTTTAGTTCTGTAAATAAATTGCTCTCAGATAGTTGATAAATAGAAGCGATCTTATCTCTAGTTGCAAACATTGATTACCTGGAGCTGGCGCTGTGATGTAGCTAAGCTGTTCCCTGTCACATAAATGAATTTCAAAATCCCAAATCATGTACAACAGTTGCCAAAGGGAACTGTGGCGCCAGTGTTTGAGTTTTCTTGCCTTTCAAACTGAAGACTCTAAAACCAGGATCAGCTACCTTTTTATAAATTTGAGTCGGTTGCTTGCAGACTTCATTTAAACAAAAAGCAAAACCTAGAATATAATTTTTGTATGATTCTTTCCCCACCCAGCTCAGAAATTTACTTAGCCGGATTAAGCTTAAAGAGTTTGTATTACATGAAACTAAATTCTGAGAGTTGTTTCATGTAATACAAACATATATAGTTTGAGGGAAGCCATTTGGTCCTGTTCCTCTTTTATCACACTCCACACTCCATGCGCATGTGCACACGTAAAGGCATTGTGCCGAACTTACCTGAGGTCAAGCGGTGTATGCAGTGTCATCCAAGGATTTAGAAACAGCACTGCATTATGCCCTGCCTTTTTGCCCTCAGCATTGTGCTGGAGTCATCTTTCCATTTTGGCAGCTAGCAAATCATGTGAGTTTTCTGGGTGTGTGTGTGTGGGGGGGGAGTGGGGGGAGAGGGCAGTGCCCTTGAGGCACTAGGAAAACCCACACAACAATAAAAAATGGTGTGGTTTTTCTGGCACAAAACTATGCATCTGGAGAACACCCTGAGAAATGCAGAAGATGCCAAGTCCATGGGCTCCCCTGCTTGGGGCCCCGTTCCTTCCTCGTGGCCAAAATAGAATACAAGCCTCTTTTGTAAGCTGTTACGGGCCACCGTCTCTGCAAATTTAAACCTGAAAGCTACAAAAACAACTGTATTCACACATCTTTTCAGCGATGCAGTGCTGGTCTCCTCCTGTCACTGGGTTAGTGAATACTGTGGAGGGCTGGCATTGTGGCACAGCATGTTAAGTCAGCACTTGCTGGGCTGGAATCCCATGCAGTGTACGTGGTTCAGGTGCTTAGTCGGGCCCTTGCCACCTATGTGGGAGACCAGGAATAGGGGCCTGGCACAGCTTTGGCTACGGTGGCTGTGTGGGGAGTGAACCACCGGATGACAGACCCATCTGTGTGTGTGTATGTGTGTGAGATTCTGTCTTCCAAATAAATAAATCCTTAAAAAGATGAACAGCCCAAGCATCACTTACTTTGGCGGACCCTTTTCATCTTCAGCGTCTGCCCAGGAATAGGTGCTAACAAACCGATGTAGTGAGGGGCGGTGTTCGCTCTGTTTTGACCCCAAAATGCGCCTAAATAGTCAAACAAAATATACTTGTAGTTTGAATCCATATGAAACTTACAACCTCTCCTCCCCGCAAAGTCACCTCTTTACTCCGTAAGCTTTAAGGCTTTAAAGATTACGGAGTAAGTAAAATATGTGGTGTATGATTTGCTTCACATACTCCACACAAAATGACTGGCTCGCTCATCTGAGGCACTCATTGAGCCTAATTATAAAGTCCCCAAAGAATGTTAAAAAAAATAATGCCTTACCAACTACTGGATCTCCTGCTGAAACGGTCATTGTTCTCCACGCCGGCCGCCTTAAAGGTACAGGATGATAAACATGGAGTGAGTGAGGCTGCCCTGAGGATGAGTTTTGTGCTAAGAACACTTGGGAGCTGTCTTACCGTTCCTGTATTTCCAATGTTTCTGGGTAGAGAGGCAATGGTGACTCTTCGCAGGGAAGATGGCTGCAGAAAGAGGCAAAGGTGAACTCAGAGTCCCTGCTAGGCAACCCTGAAGGGATATCCTCACACACAGAGCCTGCACCCTGGACCACTGCTGAGTTACACCACAAGCATATTTGTAAAACATCTTTGTCTAACCAAACTGCCTTCTAAGACTTTTTCTTTAAACCAATTTCTGGACTACCGACCTCAATAGACTATTTTAAGTTTGGCTGTCAAGTAAGAAATGTAAGATTTCTTGGTTAGATTTTTCTTGACCTCAAGCTTCTCCCCCCTATCCCATTTTTTTTTTTTTAGCATTTTAGAACAATTTTAAATTTGAAAAAAAATGTTAGGGTATTAATAGCGTAGCTTCTAGCAGTGTGACTTGCACTTTTTATGTTGAGTCACCTTGACTTTTGCCCATAGTCCTCTTTCTGATATTAAATGCCTTATTTTTCTTGCCTTTCTCTTTTGGCTACTGTTGCCTTATACCTACAGAGCTTTCCATTAGCTCAAGAAGAGCTAATAGTTCATCTATAGCTTTTACTGGAATGGTTTCTCTTTTTCCCCTTTAATGCAGTTAAAGCTATTTTTATGCATCCCTGCAGTCTTTTGTCAGCCTTGAGATTCCAAAGGCAAGTTTTATGTAACTGCACGGTTTTTAAAGCTTAAATAGATACGAGGTAAGAACTGAAATACTTTAAATTTAACAAGTCAACAAGCTTTAACTCATCTATGAAATTAAATGAAAGGGCATACCTAAACATCAAGACTACCAAGCATTACCCAAGGAACCTGCTTTTAATCCTGACTCTACTATCTGATGACAACTTATTGTATAACTTAAATGCTTCTTCCTTTTATCATCTGTAAAAAAATAGGGATTTGAATGGAATAATAAAAATTCTCGAACATTTTCAATAGCTGTGGAATCCTGATTTGCAAAGGGTGGAAGAAACTGTTGGTTCTCCCCCTATTTTCCTTTCCCCTCTTACTTGGTAAACTTGAATTTTAGCTGTGTGGAAACAGCTAACCCTGTGTTTTCAGTCCCATGGCCGTCCAAGAAGGAACATGCCAAGGCTAATGTGTTTCCTTCCATGACACATCCTTCCCAGAACACGGAGTGCCCTCTGCTTCCTCCTCCTTGGTCTGTGACTTGACAAGACGCCAAATCCTCAGAACCTGGGTCAGTCACAATGGCTCAGGGACTGTGAGGCAGAAGCCATAGGTGCTCTACCACGAGGCTGCTTCACAACCCACCGTGGCTGCATGGGACAGACAAAATCTTGTCAGTACATGCTGGCTCTCCTTATGTTGTCAACCCAGCTTGTTATACAAATGGATCAGGAAGCATAAAAGCATTCTTACACATGCGCAGTGTAACCATACCTACATGTGCATGAGTGAACATCACCGTGGTGGGATTTGAAGGCAGGTTCCCCCTTTCAAACTCCTTTTGCTTACAAACATTTGACATATACTTAGTAAGCTGGTCATTACCTTGCAGTTGAGAGATGCTGAACGCTTTTTAATTTGGCAGCCTTCTGAAAGGAAGCACATTGTAGAGATGACTCATGAGATGCATGTGAAAGCGATGGCCAAAATTCTTTACAAAGGGAAGGACAGAAAGCACCTAATGCTTGTGTCAGCACAGATGTCCGCATGCCTACCTAGCAGGTGATGGGCACCACATGGATGAGTGCTGTAACTAGGATCAACCAGGGCTGACAGGTACTGTCACAAAACTCATTCTCCTTCAGATACAATTATTATACTACAGACACAAACTATGCAATGTTCCATGGCATCACGTGTCTTCCCAACCCTTCAGTCAGCATAGTGAGCCAGAGTCTTGCCACCTTCGGGGTCTTTAAAACTCATGCGTGAGATTATTTCTCTGTAGTTACTACACCTCACTAGGATGTTGGGGGAAAAAGCAATTCTAACATCCCTTAAATAGACAAACACTAAGGTCAGCTCGGTCAGTTGGATTAATTATATTCTCTCATTGCAGCAATCCAAATTGATTTAACAGACTGTGTTCGTATCTCCCAATCTGTTTTCTGATGATACAAAGAAATGAGTTCTTGACCTTGACCTAAGGGGCCTACTCTAAGAGACGGTGACATTTAATGAGAGCGCACGGATGAGGAAACATCACTAACACGTAATCTGAAAGCTTTGAGTACCTTCGTCTTCCAGAGGGTCGAAGGACCTTTCGTTTTGAAGAAGAACCTGCTTCAGTTCTTCTAATTCGGTGTGCTCTTTGGCGTACATTCGCTTTAGGTTTTCCACATGCTGAATCATCACTTCAACAGCTTTACTAACGCGGCTTTCCTATAGGAAAAACACAAAGCTACATTGAAAATACAATTCTCAGCATTCAGAGTCAATAGACTGAATACATGAAACTTACCTTCACTCCATCCGTAAATTCCAGTAACATGAGAATAAACTATTTTTAAAAAGGACATGAAGCAATGAGGGCATAGAGAACAGAAGACAGACAGTGTCATGGCAACAAGCTTTTCAAAGTTGGACAGTATAAGCACTAGGAATAAATGAGACAGGGAGAAGTTACATCCTTAAAGGGGGCAGGTGGGTTAGAATAGGTCAGAAGCAAGCTAGTGCTGCACTTACAGAAAGCCCCAGGGGCCTCAGAGGGAACAGCATGTGGGTCTCAGGTTGATGTGCCTACTATATAACAACAGAAATAGTGAAAAGTCTGTTCAAAATGCAGATATTCTCCCTTACTCTCATCACCAGATACCTTCCCTCTTCACTATTTTAGTGGCAGATGATTAGAACATCTGTTGCCACATGCGCCATACTGAAACCCACAAATAAAAGCAAAGCGTTGCACACAAGCTGTACACGTCTCGACTCCTGGGTCTCCGCCTCCCTCATCCTGCCAGCCCCCAGGCCCTGCCTGCCTGGTTCTTCCTGCAGAGTGGGCAGCTGGGAGGTTCCTCTCTGGGGAATCGAACACTCCTGTACCCGAGTGAAATATCCTCAGGCAGAAAGGAACACACAACACACAGGCAGCACTATGTAACTTTTGGATGTTAAAAGTGTTGGAAATTCAAAGCGTTTCCAGATAAAACTGGGCTCAGTGCCCTGAAGTTAGAGCAACAACATAAACAGACCACTGAGATCAGAAAGGTTCAGCTCAGAAGAGTGACCATCCAAAGAACAGAATTTAAAGAACTATTAAAAGCATTTGAAAAAAATTACATAGGCTAGGAAAAACTCTCCAGGAATATTATCAGAACTTATTAACCATAATGTGCCACTCCAAAAGCTGTGACATGGCCCATAGAACTATTAAAGCTGGGCGACAGGGAAGAGAGAACATCCTACAAGATTCTAGAAAGTGAAAAAAGGTTATAAACAAAGGCTCAAACTTAGTGACTGAGGCAATCAGTGAAAGCTGGCTGAGCAAATCCCAAGGGAAATCATGTGTCCCCTGGGCCGCTAACGTAGCCAAACTCACGACTCGGCTTAAGAATAAAGGCACCGCAGCCTCCTGACGTCTCCAGCAGCTTACCTCCCGCCCGAGTGGAAGAAACAAGCCAACAAACGGACGGGGAGAGATGGAGACCTGAACCACCCCCACTCGAGATCAGGACACGCCTCCATCTCCAAGAAGCCAAGCGCAGAACACGTATGAGCGTCACTGTCTCGTGAGACCTCGACTCCCAGCAAGAGGTCGAGATGAACTACAGATCCACACATAGAAAATGATCAAACAACAGTGAAAAATGGTCAACTCCAGGCAGAAGCTAATGTGCCCAGTGGAGGCAAAGTCCTAACAGACTAGTAGAACTGACATTGTCTTCATAATGTTTGCACGGGTATTACAAATAATACTGTTTTTAATTTTTTAGAAATTTCATGAAAATTTCCTAGTACCCAAAGCACAGAATGATCCTGCATCTACCTGCTAGTCAGCGTCAGGAACCGTCCATGTTTGGCCAAGTAAATTACATCACTTCACCTTTTTTGCAATTTAAGAAAAAAAAATGCAATTCCACTTAAAAGGGGGGATTGTGCTCTTCCTAAATATTTCAATTACAATTTTTGTTGAAAAAATAGGAGTAATGTTAAAGAGCCTCAATACCAATGATCACATCTACCACAATGATTCCAATTTTCCTTGACATCTCCGAAACAAGTTCTAATTGGACTCTGATAAAGTATACATGCTGCTTTTCCTGTTCCATGCTAATGCACACTTTAATTTCATACTGTAAATCCAAGGCCATTAACGCACTGCCAGTGTACCTCACCACATTACCACGAATGCCCCCCACTCATCAAGCAGCCACTCCACAATGTCCCCTGCCCCAGCTGGTGGCAGCCTCCAGTCTGCTCCCTGAGTCCACACCTTTACCCAAAGCTTCAAATGAATGAATCCCAGTAGGTAGCCTCAGCCTCTCTTGCTCATCATCATGTTCATCCACACTCCAGCATATGCCAATGCTGCATTCCTCTGATGGCTAAGGTTTGGTTGACGTGCTACAAAGATTTTAAGCATTCATCCACTATTGGACATTTGGAGTGCCCATAGTGTCATGGATATCAGCCTACAAATATGTTTTCTTAATATCTGTATATCCCCCATTGTTCCTTATTAAAGTTGTATGTATTGGGGTCTTTGAAAGTCATTCTTGGAAATATAATCCATCATCTTAGGGCGAACAGATCCTTTTGGTAATTTCATTGCGACAGAAACATGGAGCGTGCTTACCTGATTAATGGCTCCCAACATCTCAGCCCTACTGGCCACTCGTGTGCTGCACTGGCTAAGAAACGTGATATTCTTCTCCAGCTTCTTGATGATTTCCTGGGCCTGGTTGTCCTCTTCACACAGCAGCGTTAAAGACTGCACAGAGAAGCAAGTATCGTAAGCTATTCAAGGCACACATTCCTGAAGTGATTCCAACATCAATGTCATATGCACCTGTGCATGACAACCCAATCTCGGTGATCGTAACGGACGGTGAAAAGGAGAACAGAGCAATAAAACCTCATACTGAAATATTAATATCTTTATCAGCTACCTCATGCTCACAAATGCTAGTCATCAATTCGTTATACTTTCCAAAATCACCACTCCCTCATGTACCTTATAGTGTTTCTTGTATCATTTTTACAGTGAGCTATAATTCACTGGAATGATAGCAAGCTTATAACACTGGTAATCCAGTTTCTTCTATGACAATGGAATTCACAGGGTGGGATTTTTGAGGAAGTAGCAAAGCAGACTAGAATTAGAATCGGCTGTGGTTATGACACTCGCCATCCTATTGATAGGTGTGGATAGATAGGCCTTTTTTTGCCTTATGAATATTCATTTTGAACCTGCATTCTTTTTTTCTAGAACCATCCTTCTCACTAGGATAGATCTGAAACAGTGAACAAGTTCATTAGCCACGTGGCTATGAGCAAATTTCTAACACACAAATCTAAAGCACGGCAAAATATGTTATTTTGTACCCATTATTTTGTACGTTGTTAAGAAAAAGTACTGCCAATAAAATCATGAGGCATCACTGATTGTAAATTGCATCGCATAATTTTGGAACAATTAAAACGTTGTCATTTCTGATAGACTGTACCCTGATCAAACAGAAACCATTATCCCCTTTGTGGAAATACAGCCAGTGCCATGGGCTTGTAGCACAACAAAACAAACACAATCTGAACTTCAAACACTTAGTGGAAATACTTATTACAAAAAAGCCTTTGCATGATTTTCATATTTTTTGCACAAAAGTAACATTGCTTGTGTCTATAAAAGATTTTTTTTTTTAAGATAGAGTGACAGGAAGGGAGAAACAGAGAAATCCATCTTGCATCTGCTCGCTCACATTCCAGCTAGCTGCAGTGGTTTGCCTGGGTCCGGGCTAAAGCCAGGAGCCCAGAACTCAATCCAGGCTCCAAGCACTTGGGCCGCCTTCCACTGCATTCCCAGGTGTATCAGCAGGGAGCTGGGTCAGAAGCTAAAACTTGAATCTTCACTCCAATTGCCAATATCTCAAGCAAAAGTTTAACCCACTCACTCTACCACAGTGCCAGCCTTATGAGCTTACCTTTTTGTTTAAAAGATCTATTTGTTCTTATGTGGAAGACATATTAACAGAGACATGCAGAGACAAAGAGACTGTCCAGCCTCTGGTTCACTCCCCCAAAAGCCACAACAGCTGAAGCTGAGCTAATTCAAACCTAACAGCTTCTTCTGAGTCTCCCACATAGGTGCAGGGGCCCAAGGCTTTGGGCCGTCCTCCACTGCTTTCCCAGGCCACAGGCAGGGAGCTGGATGGGAAGTAGAGTAGCTGGGACATGAACTGGTGCCCCTTTGGGATTCTGGTGCTTGTAGGCAGCTTGCTGAGCCACTGTGCTGGTCCCACTAAGCTCACCTTTTCCCTCCATTTCTCCATGAACTTCATCAAGTTTTCTCCTACTATTTCTATCTGACCATCCTAACATTCCAGGAATAGCTTCTGCTTAGCCATGCTATACAAAGAACTTGAAAAAGTTGGTGGAAAATAGAATTAAAAGATATTTTGGTACAAAATTTTTTTGGAAATCCATTCATAAGGGCTTTTTCATAGTATTAGTCATGAACTTTCTGAAGTTGTCTCATCTACCACATTGAGAAAGGAGGACTAAAATTACAGGACTCTCTCCAGTGATGTAGAAGTAACATTTTACAAAACTCAGCATCCTTTCCTCATTTAAAAAAATTATCTCTCCCCCCCAAAAAAATATCTAGGAACAAAAGGAAATAGAATAAAGGTCACTTGTGAAGAAGTCGTAGCAAAATCACACCGTGTTGAAAGGCTGAGCGCTTTTCCTCCCAGATCAGGGACGAACCAGGGTGCCTGCTCCCACCCCTGTTTATTCAGTATGCTCAAGTTCTAGGTGAGAAAAATACAAAGGAATTCAAAACTAAAAAAAAAAAAAAGAAAGAAATAGAAGAAAGTAAAATCATCTCGATAGACTGAACACTAGAGATGTTACTTTGGTAACAAAACAAAACAAAACACCCCAAACATAGAATACATATGTGGAGCAAATTTGAAGGGTGCACAGTTAACACCAATACACCAATATTCAGATATTCAGTTGCATTTTATATGTAATTTCTGACAAAGTAGGAAAAACAGCTCCATCTACAGTAACAACAGAAAGACAAACACGAGGCCCAGCACAATGGTTCTATTGGATAATCTTTCTCCTTCAAATGCCAGCATCCCATATGGGCGCTGGTTCTAATCCTGGCGGCGCCACTTCCCATCCAGCTCCCTGCCTGTGGCCTGGGAAAGCAGTCAAAGACGGCCCAAAACCTTGGTTCCCTGCACCCACATGGGAGACCCATAAGAAGCTCCTGGCTCCTGGCTTTGGATCAGCGCAGCTCTGGCTACAGCAGCCATTTGGGGAGTGAACCAGCATATAGAAGAGCTTTCTCTGTGTCTGTCTGTCCTTCTTTCTGTAGATCTACCTTTCCAATAAAAATAAATAAATCTTTAAGAACAAAACAGACACTTAGGAATAAACCTCATCAATGAAGTGAAAAACTTAAACGTTAAAAAGTACAAAGCACTGTTAAAAGACATTAAGAGATACAAATAAACTATAACATGTTTGCGAATTGATAGACCTGATTATGATACAACTCCCCAGCAATCTAGACTGAAATAAACCTTCATCAAAGTCTCAACTGTAATTTGTAGAAATAGAAACACAGCCCAAAACTCAGCAGGTAGACAAACCAATAACCAAAAAGAAGAGCAGGCAGCATTGTAGTGCAGAGGGTGGAGCTACCACCTGCGACTCTGGCATTTTACTTCAGCACCAGTTCAAGTCCTGGCTACTCCAGTTCCAATCCAGCTCTGTTAGTGTGTGTGGGAAAGCAACGGGGGATGGCATCAACTCGAGCTCCTGTACCATGTGGGTAGCTCACGTGGAATTCCTGGCTTCTGGCTTCAGCCTGGCCCAGCCCCAGCCACTTTGGCCATCTGGGGAGTGAACCAGCGAATAGAAGATTGAGCCGCCTGTCTCTACCTCTCTCTAACACTACTTTTCAGATAAAAAAATAATCCATACCCATTTTACATGACAATGAAAATGTTTGATTTCCTTCATTCAATCAAGCCGCTTAATGTTCCAATACATCTGATTTTTGAGAACTTCACAACGTGCAAAAATAATCCCCGTTGTCACAGTCTTGTGCACCTGCTGCTCCTCAGCCCCTTCGGGGAGGACCTGATGTCACCTGACAACACTTCAGGCAGCCACGGTTCTTTTTTTCATAAGTTAATCGTACATGGAGATAGATTTTGCAGAGTCTTCTACAAAAACTGATGCCTAACTCCTGTTGCTTAGCTTTTTGGCAGGACTGCTCTTCCGCCTAAAATCTATTTGAAAATCCAGAAAGAAAGCAGATGACTCAGTCCCCTCCTGAAAAAGACGGTTCTATGCTGGAGTGTTACTTCTCTCTATTGATGAAACACTTCAGCATAATCCTGAATTCTCAACCTTCCAGCAATTTGCATGTGAGTCAGACAGGGCTTGGTACCCGGCATTGGCTGTGATCAGACAGGTAAAAGCCACCTGCTCTTACGAAAGCAAGATTAAAGACATGACCCGGTGTCCGACTCTCACCTCCAGCAGCTTCAAGCAGTTGGTGATTTCGTTCTTGAGATTTTCTTCTGCCAAGTCCCGAGCCCGCTCCTCCAGCTTCACCCTCTTCTCCAGGGTGAACCAGTCACACTTGAACCCCAGCGAGACTCGGAGAAATTCTGCCTGTCATCAAGATAACGTGGGGTTAACAGAGAGCTGCACGCAGACTTCCCCTCCCACCGTCATAACGCAAGGGCCTTCCCTGCACTTAGCGGTTCCCAAGCAGACCGTGCAGACACAGGAGAGCTTGTACCTAGCACGTGCCTGCATCAGCAACTGAGTCCAAAACACTTTATTTTTTTAAGTGTGTGTGTGTGTGTGTGTGTGTGTGTGTGTGTGTGTGTGTGTGTGTGCGCATGCACGCGGTGGTAGTTTTTGTGGTGGTGGTTTTTGTTTTTTAAGAAAATGACGCTTGGTTTAAACTCACCTCCACTTCCTTCTCAGTAGCAGAAGTACTGTGGAATAAAACAAAGACCTTTTATCAGACGCAGTTCGACCGTAACATGGAGGGGTTAACATGCAACGTGAAGAAAAGCTTACTTGTCGCTTTGTCTGAAATTAACTGATTTCACAGTGGCTCCAGGAAGAGGGGAAACCGCAGCATCTATTACAAGACAACACAGTGAAGGAGACTTAATACCCATGGGCTGGAGCTGTACAACAAGTTAAACTGTCGCCTACAGTGCCAGCATCTCACAGGGTCACCGATTGAGTCCTGGTTGCTCCACTTCCAATCCAGCTCTCTGCTAATGTACCTGAGAAGGCAGTGAGATGCTACAAGTACTTGGGACCCTGCCACCCATGTGGGGGATCCGAATGGATTTCCAGGCTCCTGGTTGCAACCTAGTGCCTGCCTGGCATTGTAGCTATTTGGGGAATGGACCAGCAGAAACAATCTTTCTAAAGTCAGCCTTATTTTTTTTAATAATATCTAAATGTGTATTTTAAAAAATATGTTGTGTTATCTCCACTGAACAAAGGCATTTATTTTAAATCAGGTGATAGCCAGCTAATGTGTTTATTGAAATTGCAATTTAATATTAAGTCATTGAAATTACAAAGACATTAAAATCATCAGTTCACACCTGAGTTGGTAATCGTTTTTTGAGACCCTAAGATGTCTCAGGATCAAAGACCAGCCCAGTTTGCAATTTGTTCTGTGTGCATTTTAATGCTTTTTATACAGTCTCCAAAAACTTTGTGGAAAATACCCAGTCATGGGCCCGGCACAGTGGTGCAAGTGGTTAAGGTCCTCTCCTTGCACGCCCGGGATCCCATATGGGCGCCGGTTCTATCCCGGCAGCCCCGCTTCGCTTCCAGCTCCCTGCCTGTGGCCCGGGAAAGCAGTCGAGGATGGCCCAAAGCTTTGGGACCCTGCACCCACGTGGGAGACCCGGAAGAGGCTCCTGGCTTTGGATCGGCATAGCATCGGCCGTTGCGCTCACTTGGGGAGTGAATCATTGGACGGAAGATCTTCCTCTCTGTCTCTCCTCTCTGTATATCCGCCTTTCCAATGAAAAAATAATAAAAATAAATCTTAAAAAAAGAGAAAATACCCAGTCATTTATTACCTCTGCTGGAGTCCCAGTGAGAGAAACAGGCAGGCAGACAGAATAGGTTTGTCCATCTCCTAATTCACTGCCTCAAAGCCCACGATAGTTGGAGCTGAACCTAGCCAACACCAGAAGCCAGAAACTCAATTCAGATCTCCCACGTGAGGAGCAGGGATGCAACCATCATCTCCTGCTTCTTTTCAGTATGCACATTAGAGGGAAACTGGAATTGGGAGTAGAGGCAGGAATTAAAACCAGACACTGCCATGGGATAAGAGTGTCCCAAGATGCATCTTCATTAGTGTATCATAAAGCCTCGGGGTCAAGAGCATGTGCCCCAAGCACATGTTCTATACATTATCATGTATTCATTCCTCGTGGCAGTTGTATGTGCAGATACTGTTATTGTCTGTACTTCGCTGACTTGGAAACTGACTCACATAGCATTTGGAAGACTCAATAAAATCACACAATTGAAGAATTCAGCATTGTGACCTAGCGTTTATTTCAGCAACGTGTACTTTCAGCTCATCATTCCCACTTTGCAGATGGGAGAACTGAGAGTTGATATTAAGTAACTTTCACAATCTGGAATCGGAGGGACCCCAAAAGTCTGAAAATTCTTAGTGCTTACTGTAGAAATACTGAATTCTTCACTTCCTAGATGGAATCCAGGATTCAAAGCAGAGCTTAAAATGGACTATGAACATTGGCTTTCTTACTCCTCAGTTACTTCAGATCATCTGGCATTAAATCAGAGCAGTGTACTCAAATGCAATGGGAATGTAGCTTTTTTGCAGGAGACAAGTGCAATCCTGTTGGCTGATCTTATCTGGGAGTGCAGCATCTGCAGGGGGAGTAGTTCTGCCCAGCTTCACCTGCAGCAATATCGGAACAGAGCAGAAGTTCCCATGAGGGTTGGGAACATTTCTTACCTCCTGTAGCACATTCTTTATGCTCTTCTATTGTTTGGGGTTCCTCTTTGGCTTCCTAAAATCATAAAAAGATCTTATTACTGTGCATAGAATGGAAATTCTTCATAACCTATCATTTCCCAAATTCCTGTAGCACCCCCCCCCACCCTTATCCCTATGAGGTCACAGACACTCTGAGTATTCAAGGAACTGTAGCAGGGGTTAAGAAAGGCAAGGCTTGTTCCAAGGCAGTTGCTAATCTAGTTCAGGCCGAAAGAGCATCAGTACAAGAGAAGTGATGTAGCTGTTCGGTGCAGCTTACCATTGAACAAACTAGAATGGATCACCAAATAAATGAGATAGGTACATCAGTGTTCTCGGCAGGAGGGGGAGAGACAGTGGGACTTGAGGAACATGCTAAGTCTGTGTAGACAGGAGCAGCTGCAGATGTTAGAAGGTAGGACTGGATGGCACAGGAGGTAAAGGAAGGGCGATCAAGAGACACCTCTAAGGGTATCTGGGGGAACTGTGACAAAGTAGGTGCAAAGACTGTGGTTGCCAACATGCCTTAAGGCCACCTGCCCTAGGACTGTCTGTGTAACAAAGATCATCATAGCAAAGGGCTAAACTGTGCTTCGCGGGGAAATTGAGTAGGGAAACGTGAAGTATGCTTTTTGAAAATAAGTCCACATCATTCTCAGATTCACAGAGAAACCCGCACAGCAAGAGACATTTTCCATTACAGAAGTCTAACTAGACACCATGCCACGTCACTTTGAGACAACTGATTTCCATGACAGGCCACACACCCAACACAGGAAATGTACTGGGTCATGCTCATCAACATTTCCATATTCAGGTTTTCTTGCATCCTTCTTCAATGCCATGACCTTTCTGAGTCGTGTCATTTCCCCTTCCTGTGTGCCTCCACAGCCCCGCTGCTGGGAGAATCTGTCCACAGACGCCCTTTCCAGTCGGCTATCTCCCATTCCTGATCAGTGAACTACCCCTGACCCTCCAAATTAACTCCTTACCCACCACACGTGACCATCCTATTGTCAAGTATGACCAGGAATCTTTTCTGGAGGTGTTCAGAGTTTTAATTTTTTATAGAGCTTTGTTATGCAAGTCTACTAGATTCAGTGCCACTCACGTGCTGCCTCTTGCATGGCATCTTTTTCCAGTCTTCCATCTCAAGCAATTTTTCTTTTCTATCCCTAATCACATTCTTGAGCAATTATCTATTTCTTTACCTGATGAGAAATACTTTTAAAAAAAATCAGTGTTGTATTTAATTTTCTTAATGCATTCATTTGTTTGAGACCTTCAATTGGGATATACTTGGCTTGCTTCCAACAGACCTTTTATGAAATGAGTTAAGTGAATGAAAAAAATCAAGGTAGAGCCAGGAGGCCATACAGCCAACTTCACTGTGTGAGCCTCAGCAGGTAACGGGATACTTTGGCCTCGGTTTGTTTTTGTCTATGCAGGAGCCATGGACATCCAACCTGAAGGCTAGATAAGGCCCACAAAAATCATATGATCTGTCTGCCATGCTAGCTATCAATAGGACCTGAAATTCCACAATCTACAGCAGGCTAAATTTTGACAATTTTGAGTGGCCTGCGAATCTTATTTTTAATATCCAAAGGGTTTTTGGCAGGAAGAAAATAAGTTTCTCACCCATGTCCTACAGAATAGTGATTCACTTAACATCTAGCAGCTTCGTGGCATTTTAAAGGAGAAGATGAGATAAATTTTAAGCATACTTTGCAGACTTTAAGACAGATCTAGCATTACAATGCATCATTGCTTTTTATTGTTGCCATGTGTATCTTCTTCCTTACCAGATTTAATGTGGATTTTTCTGTACTTAGAACATCCTGCGAGGCAGTATTTTCTTGAGCTTGACTGGTGGCTGTAAGAGAAAGGCAAAGACACGTTGCTTTGTGGGAACATTAACAGGCAAAAGAGAATGCTATAGTGAGGGTAGCAAACTAGTAACCAAGGCTTTGACACAGAAGACAAAACCATGGACATTATCAACATAATGTGCCCTGGGATCTGGGATTAGGGATGGAGCAGGTCAGGCTGTAAGGAGCCAAGGTCCTTGTGAGAGTTCTGAATGCCCATCTGTGTAAGTGGGTTCAAACAGTACGCTGTCACTTATCATTTCTTACACAGCTGATTTTTTTTTTTAATCAAGTATATTAGTGGTAAAACAATAGAAACTGGATAAAGGAAGGATGGACAATTAGTAATTCCGTTGTTTTTTTTTTACCTTGACAAGTATTTTTAACACTTGCATATGCAAAGCTATACCAAAATAGGATATCCGTCTAAATAAAACATCTAAGTCAAATGTCACACGGCTAAAAAGGTGCACCTTTGTGAAGGTTCTTTTTCTAACTTCCCTTTCCTTTTGCATACCGTATTTCTACTGGAATATGACTGACTCTTCTCCTCTGAGCCAGCGCAGTACTTTGTCTTGTAGTTAGCTCAGTACAAGCACAAATACCAACAGGTTTTGCCTCGCTTTTACGAAACCACATGTTTAAAACATGTATTATGCTGTTAAAATTCATGTGGAAATATGAATAAAATGGGAATTGATTTCTTCAGTGGCACAATTTTTCCTCTGAAGAAATTTTCCCTTAGTTTTCTTGAAGTCTGAACACAGATGATAGGTTCATATAGTCCATGCATTAAAAAGCAGGAAACATCTAACAGGGAAAAATTCCCTTTCCATCTACATCTGCCAGAAACAATTTCCCTCTGCACTGATCGTGCTGATTTTTTCCTAGCCTTCCAGACATATTTTACACATATGCAAAACCTTGCTTCCTCTTTCTTTCACACAACTGTGCAAACTGCATATAACATTCTATGCATTAAAAAATTCCTTTGCTATTTTTCATCTTGCTTGATATATAAGAGGAAAAACAAGTTCTATACATTCTTTATGCCTACAGAGCAGTATCTTTTAACTTGGGTATTCCATATACATTTTTAGGCGATAGCTAAACCATAATTATTGTTTTCTTATTGCAGACAATGCCACAGTATCATCCTGTATGTGAATATATATACAAAGACAAATTCTCATGAAGTTGCTCTATCAAAGAATATGTCCATTTACCAAAGCTGTAGATATTTCAAAATTTCCTTCCATGTTGATTGTGAAACTTGACATTCCCTAAAGCAACACAGGAGCATTTTTCCCTCTTTAATCTGCATGACAGGTGAAACATGGCATCTTCAAGTCATTTTAATTAAAACCCTTTCTTGCCACGGTACAGAGTGAAATATCAACATGTTCTTCACTTAGCCCATGGAATGATTTCATTTCAGCAACATTATGTATACTCCAACTTCTCACGCATCTCAAATATAAATGTCAAGTTCCAACACCAGGATGTATTTTCCTTGATTGGGAGGGGGAGGCCGTAGGAGTCAGAATTTCTGACTCCAGGGAGTGTCCACTGTTGTGATGTCTTGTTGGCAAGAGTCAAGAGTAACCACTGTGCTATCACAGTCGGATAAAACATCACGTGGCTGACTCTCTGGTCTCCCAAGTTGTTCATCCTTCCAACCTAACAGGGTCTAATTAGTACCCAAAGAATTTCCTGTTCTCCAAGTTGTGCTAAGTCTCATTTTACTCTCAGCACATTGTAACTCCTAGCTACAAAACGGAAAATGAATTTTAACATCCTCAGACAGGAAGGCCATGGTTATCACTTGTATTTCTTTGATGTAGACTATGTCTTCAGGTTTCTTGGATGAGAATTTTATAAGATATGATTAAATAATATCACCACGCTCCTGACGAGAGTGGCTGTGCTACCTTCGAGGTTTGCTTCACGCCCTGGGTGGAAACTGCCCGTGAAGGCCGCCACGCTCACCTGGCGTCTCCACGCTGGTGCACGCCGACCTCACATTCTCTTCTTTCTCACAGATGGATTTACAGTCAAGCTCCCCAGAAGCCATAGTCACAATTTCTGATCCAGAGTCTGTCGACAGGAAGAAACGAATACTGAATAATACACAAAAGGAGTGTTTGCTTAACTTCTCATTTGCATGTAACCCAGCAGTCAGAACATGAAGCTTAAAGTTCTAACACCCTGTTTTTTTTTTTTTCAATACTGATTCAGAATTTATTACAACCAGATAACATCTCTTGGAACGCACAGATAAATGATAGTAGAAACATGTTGAATGCCTAAAAATTTAAGAAATGGGTGCTTTTAATAGTTAGGACTATACTATTGTAATAATATGGCGAAAAATGGTTGTGGGGGATGTGATTGGAGCAAGCAGAGGAGGAAGAGGGAATCCCTATTCCTACAAAACTGCTCCATGGAAAATAACAATATTTTTAAAAAGCATCCTATTTTTCCATCAACACAGTGAATCCCTAAACATACATGTCCAACACCCCATTTTTAGACCTCTGCCAAGTCCACTCACCACTTGAAGTCACTGCACTGTCTGCAGATGAATTCTGTCTGGGCGATGGTCGTGTGGGATGTTCCCTGTCCAAAAAGTGGAAGAAATATCTTAGACTAATGTCAGGTCTGGAGGATTCCCGTAAAGCCCTGCGAAGCAGGCACACCCATCCCTGGGAAACGCGGACAGCAGACCTGGGCTGTGGCGGATTCTCAGGGGGCGAGTGTCCAGCACCATGCTCCTTGAGGGGGAAAAAAAAGAAAACAAGGAGATTTAAGATCCAGCATTTGACATTTTTCTGTCTCAAAAGGTTAGTTTAATCAAACATTTTGACACTGTTTACTTTTCTCTCCTGGGGAGGATACGCGTGGGGATGGTATAGGGCACTCTGCTGGACAACCTTCCAGAGCTGTACTTACAAAAGGTATCCAAATGTACGTGTATTTACACATTTGCTATTCAAAGGGAAATCTGATAAATTCCTGAGCAAAACAAATTCTAAACTCAAAGGGCAGATCGAGATTTATTTCACGAACCTAGGATTTCTTTAGCCAGAACATTCTACACATGGGAATAAAAACCTGTATTTCTATTCATGAGAGTGTTATTCAACCAGAAGCTTCTCGCCTCAAAATGACTGTTGGTTCTATCTAGATAAATCATGCATCTGAAACTTAATCCACATCTCAAAGATCTGAGGGATTACAGCTAAGGCAGCACCCATTACTTGGCATTCAAAGGGAGCTTAACACACCTGTGCTCCAGCCTGCCAGGGCACATGTTGGAGAAGACTCGCTGGAAACCCTGTGAGCACACTTACGTAAAAACCAACAACAACAACAAAAAAAGTGGGAACATAATCCCCTCCTAAAAACCTTCTTATAAATAATTCTCATCATTTACTTGAGAAACATTGAAATCATTAGCAGGTAACCAAAAAATGAAGACAGTGAAATATTCCATAGTGAAACATAGAATTTATGGTTAACCACCACAACCAACAACACGTTTCTATAGAGGGATGCTCTGTGTCATGCACAGCATTTAGGAACTCCAGGGATGCCTGGACTTCCTGTCTCCTCTCTCAATTTCAGCTTGCTGCTCTTGGGGCCCCTGACAGGCAGCGATGCTGGCTCAGGTGTTTGGGTTTCTGCGACCCGGATGGGAGACCCAGACGGAGTTCCCAGGTCCTGGTTTTGACCATCTGGGCATGTGGGATGTGAATCAGTGAATGGAGGGACACACATTCTTCAAATCTCTTTAAAAAAAATAGCTATCCAAGAAAATATTTGCCACAGAAAGCTAGAGTTTAAATAAGATTTTGCTGGTTTTGTAGTTTTCAATACAACTACAGTAGCCTAAATCTTTCATGATTACTAGGTTAGAAATTATATTTATTTACTTATATTTCAATATTTACATAACAAAGTTATAAAAATGGAAGGAAAATAGGACTGCTTCAGTTTCATTGAGTATGGCAAAAATATCAAAATGAGTTACTTAATAAAAAAAAATAAGGTACATGTAATAGTCCACAACAGAAAAATTCCCCATGTAAATTAAAATGATTTTATTACACTTTTATAAAAAGTGAACTTTTGTCAGAAAAGCATTCCTTTTCTATCTGCCAGGGCCAAGGATACTTATTAAGAAATAAAAAACACAAGGTAATATTGTCCTATTAAACTCTTCTCTAGAATGAAAAGGGAACACAGATTTTTGCAAATTTCATGTTATCAAACAGTCAAATCACCATGTTCTTTGAAGTCAAAGTAACAACCACAGCAAAAATAATTTACTTTCACTCTGCTAGAAGAATTTGGTTTACCATGTTGTGTTTCCCCATGCCTTACGAGTGATCATTTCAATAGAAGCTTTTGCTCAATCTATTTATTGATTCAACAAAGAAAGGTGTGTGATTTTGAAGAAATCGCATCTACCCAGTAGCCACACATTGCTACATTTTTATTAAACAGTTCTAAGATACGCAACAAGATATCTACCAAATCACCAGTCTCTAAATCTCTGCTCACAGAGCAGTCACAGCGCAGCACACTAATTCCCCTGACTCTGTACATTTGGACTTGTGGCTCCTTTTATTCCTCCTTTATGAAAACCACCAGGGGCAAGAAGTGTTTTTCAAACTTCATGTCCAATTTAGATTGATAGTTCATGCAAGTTGGTAAACAGCTCCCCTGGCCCAAGGTGTCTTGTGAGTATGGAGAAGGAGTTGCAGTGGCTCAGCCAACACTTTGCAGTCCTGTCCCTTCTCCCAGGCTGACAGTCACCGCGTTAGTAACCAGCAATCCAGGCACACGGCACCCTTGCAGAGAAACTATGGAACTCACCCAGACTATCAAAGGGATAACCTTACAGGTATTTTTTAAAAAAAAAAAAAACAGGGAAATTCAAGAAGCTGAGTAAGAACAAAGAAGAAAAAAAGTATTCATTCAACTTACAAGATGGGCTGGAGTAGATGAATTCTAACACAGGTTGATAGCACAGAACAGGAGAAATGTGCCTCCTGCCCAAGCCATTCAAATATTCACCTGCATAGCCTTCTATGAAAATCCACGATCCAGCCCATTTGCCTTTGGCAGAAAGAGCCGGATGGAGGGTGGAGTAGCCACGGTACTCAGTCAAGCCGGACAGAACCTCCCACGGGCTGAGCTCGCCAACGCAGGCCACTCTTTCCCACACACAGAACAACACCGAGCACAGTGAGAAGTAATGTTTAAGATGTCGAGAATGGCAATTAATTGGCCTGCACAAAATCCCAGGGCCACTTTATCTTTGCTATTCTAAATGTATTGCTGCTTTAACTACATAGTCTATGACCAGAAACCAGAAACCTTTAACCATTCTACTACGAAACAGCACTGCAGGTGGATCATTACCTTGCTGTGCTATGCCACCAGCCTGTACTATAACCTCTGATTGCATTTATTTCCGGTGTCACCCAATGCTAGTGAAATAAATCAGTATCATTTTCTGATAGCAAGAGAAAAATTAGAGTCCATCTAGAGTGACTTCAGGCCACACGCTGGGTTCATTCCAAAGAGTGGGAATGTTCAGCTGACCTTGAAAAGATTAGCTCGCCTGAAACCGAAACAAAACTGCATTTCCTTGTAAGCACTTCTACATGTCTGTCTAACAGCTCACCACACCCTCCCATCCATGGGTCACACTCAGCTCCTCCATGTCCCAGCTTTGCAAGTGGCAATGCTACTTATTCCCCAGGACTCTTCACGCTGTATCTGCACACAGCTGGAAAGAACAGGACAGACACTGGCCAGGAACTCTAGAGAGATCTTTTTAAGTTGATCCTGCTCTTTGCTGCAATAAATCTCTTCATCCTGGTAGTAATGAATCTTAGACAACATGCAGTAACATGAAACAGAACACAAAGGGAGGCCAGACACCTAGCACTGGCGACATGGGACACTTGGAGCAACCTGCTCAAGGTTGCGGCTCAGCTTCACACTGCCTATTCTGGTTCTGGGTAGTACCATGGCACCAGCTGCTGGGTTTTGCAGTTTACTGTGATCCAGGCATTGTATGTGTGTCACAAAGCATTTTGGTGCAGTCACTTCTGAAACTGCAGTGAGAGAGAAAGGAAAACAAGCATGCCTGAAAAGGATCATGAACCTGAATTTTAGAGTATTTTGGGACACAAACGAGGACCTACACACATCCAAGTTTGGAGAAGTCTTTGCATGCCCTTTAATGGCTGGGGTGGCGGGGGAGAGGGGAGGTTGACCGTGACTAGGAAAAAGCAGGGGTACTGGGGAGGGACTGCTCCAAGTGGACCCATACCCAAACCAGTGAAGGACTCTCCTGCTGGGCCCTCCAACTTCCAGTCCTGCAAGATTATTTCTGTGGCTTAGACAGTAGAAGTCACATTAGCAACCACAAGACAAGGAGCCCACCAACACCACACCAGAATATTCAGATGATCTCCCTGAATATTCTGGAACAGGAGAGTACAGTCCTTTTCTGTCCCATGGAAGAAACATCACTAGAAGGCCAGGCTGTGTGTTCCGGGAAAGTCAGTTGTGCCAGGCAGGGTGGGCAGTGTGGATAGCAGACAAAGAGAACTGCAGAGATACGAGAGGTGAAACCAGTTTTCTGATCCCACAATTTTTCAAAGGCTAAGCATCCACAGGACCCACGAGAAAGAGGAAGGAGCCCCATGAAAAGAGAGGCCTTCCTTTCATCACCAATGTCCAGGCAGACGCTTCTCTAAATGTAGCCCACTGGCTTTGTTTCCATGCCCTGCTTAGGCCACTTATGTATATGTATGTAAATAACACAAGACGAGTATGTGCATATTCAAATCCTCGGTAGAACCCTGTAAAGTAGCATCTCTTCCATGGGGATTCTAACATTCAAAATTAGGCCACTTGTTCAAGTTCACAAAGTGATCAAGAAATATCAACCGTCTTTAAGTCTACTTCTTGATTCCCAAGACTCTACCACGTAACTAAACACTCAAAGACGCTACTGAGGCAGGGAGGACTTCAAGGAACACAAAAATACAAAGAAAAGCATGATCCTCTTTGGGCACCAATCATGCCGATTGTTTCATCTATATTCTTTCACCATGCAATTTTGAAGGAAATTTCAGGTATCAAAACACTGCCTCCATCAATATTTCAGTATGAGTGTGTAAAAGATGGTGACCTGAAATAACATACTGTTTCTTTCATCTCTGTACCAAAATATCCCAAATTTATCAATTAAGAACTTATAAAGAACATCCCGAGCTGGGCTCCAAATTATGTGATTATGAGATGTCCTTTTTGGAGAAAATCATCTTGTTAAGAGTCCCCGTCTTCTCTCAAGAATTAAGATGTCCGTATCCCACTTTGGAGTGCCTGGGTTCAAGTCCCAGACCCCCTTGGGATCCAGCTTGCTGATAATGTGCCCCCTGGGAGGCAGCAGGTCACAGCTTAACTACTCAGGTACTTGGGTTCTGTCACTGTTGGCCTTATAAGTAAAAACAAACTTTCAAAAGGGATATTAAAAGCTTCTTATAAATACTTCATTATTAGCTTGTACTGTGCATTCTGAAAAGGATGCCAGAGTATCACTCCCTTTATAAATATAAAATACATCCAGCCATTCACACAAAGCCAAGTACTGCATGTTCTCTCTCCTGTGTGGAAGTTGAAAAAAAAAATCATGTCTGAACTTAGAAAAGTGCTCCCTAGGGAGTGGGGAGAGTGGGAGCCACGCCCT